GGTGAGCTTATGTGATTGCATACTCATGTCAGTATAAGAAAAAGCAGAGGAAACTGTTGGTGGAAGGAGTAAAACAGGAAAAGCATGGGTGAGACACACAGGTCAAACTCCTGCCCCCATTTCCTCACACCTGACCATTATGAGCCTCATTTCCTGACCCTGGCATGCAAATTTAGGTTGAGCCCCAAATTCCCATCCTTTGTACTTCTGCTTTCATTGTTTCCAATGAATTGAAAAGAGAACTTCCTTTAGCACTGGAATCACAGAATTCATAGGCTTTGGACCATTTCAGGCATATGAAAATGCCAGAAATAGTTTCTTTATATATATCTATATTTCCCTGAGTGCAAAAGTGGTATGTGGTACCAATTGTTGTTTGATATTTAATAGAGTCTCAGTAAAAATTTGTCAAATGAAGACATATCCATTGTTGAAAACAAAAAACATAGAAAGCTAGGAGGGGGAAAAATCAAAGTAATTCAATAAAACATACCAACCACATATAATTATTGTTAATAGGTTGGTGTAGATGAGTTGGTGTAGATATAAAATTTGTACATCAAATCTTATTAAATTTAATAAGATTGTACATTAATCTTATTAAAACTGTTTAAAATTGGTGGTGTTTTTATGATGGCTATTCTAACAGGGGTGAGGTGGAATCTTAGTGTGGTTTTGATTTGCATTTCCTTTATGGCTAGAGATGGTGAGCATTTTTTCATGTGCTTTTTTACCATTTGAATTTCTTCTTTTGAGAAAGTTCTATTAAGTTGAGTTGCCCAGTTTTTAATTGGTTCATTGATTTTTGGGGAATATAGTTTTTTGAGCAACCTGTATATTCTGGTTATCAGTCCCTTGTCTGATGTATAGCTGGCAAACATTTTCTCCCACTCTTTCAATGGTCTCTTCAGTTGAGAGGCCATTTCTTTTGTTGTGCAGAACCTTTTTAATTTTATGTAGTCTCATTTGTCCATCCTTTCTCTTAGTTGCTGGGTTTCTGTGGTTCTATTAAGGAAGTCCTTGCCTATACCTATTAGTTCCAGAGTGTTTCCTGCTCTTCCTGTAGTAACTTCAGGGTTTCAGGTCTGATATTTAGGTCTCAATCCATTTTGAGTTGATACTACTACAGGGTGATAGACATGGATCTAGTTTCAGTTTCTTGCAAATGGATAACCACTTTTCCCAGCAACATTTGTTGAAGAGGCTGTCTTTTCTCCATTGTATGCTTTTGGCTCTTTTGTCAAAAATGAGGCGGGTATAGTTGTGTGGATTCATAGCTGGGTCCTCTGTTCTGTTCCACTGATCTGCCAGTACCATGCTGTTTTTATTGCTACTGCTTTGTAATATAGTTTGAAGTCGGGTATTGTGATATCTCCAGCATTGCTTTTTTTGCTGAGTATTGCCTTGGCTATTCATAGTCTCTTGTGTTTCCAAATGAACTTTAGAGTATATTTTTCAGTCTCTGTGATGAAAGTCATTGGGATTTTGATGGAAATTGCATTAAACATGTAGATTGCTTTTGGTAGTATAGATATTTTTACTATGCTGATTCTACTGATTCATGAGCATGGGAGATCTTTCCATCTTCTGTAGTCTTCGTCAATCTCTTTCTTCAGGAGTTTGTAATTCTCCTTGTAGGTTCATTCACATCTTTTGTTAAATGTACTCCTAGGTATTTTATTTTTTTGAGGCTATTGTGAATGGAATTGTTTCCATATATTCCTTCTCAGTTTGTTTGTTGGTGGTGTATAGAAAAGCTAATGATTTTTGTAGGTTGATTTTGTATCCTGCCACCTTACTGTAGCTGTTTATAGTGTCTAAGAGTTTTTGGGTAGAGTTTTTTGGATCTTTAAGGTATAGGATCATATTATCTGCAAATAAGGATATTTTGACAGTTTCTTTACCTATTTGTATGCCTTTATTTCTTCTTCTTGCCTAATTGCTCTGGCTAGAAATTCCAGTACTATGTTGAATAGGAGTGGAGATAATGGGCACCCTTGTCTCGTTCCTGATATTAGGGAACCCTAATCCACTGCTGGTGGCAATGCAAGCTGGTACAACACTCTGGAAAAAGCAATGGAGACTTCTTAAAAATCTAAACATACACCTGCCATATGATCCAGCAATACCACTCCTGGGGATATACCCAAAGGAATGCAACACAGGTTACTCCAGAGGCACCTGCACACCCATGTTTATTGCAGCGCTATTCACAATAGCCAAGTTATGGAAACAACAAAAATGCCCTAGTATTGATGAATGGATCTAGAAAATGTGGTACTTGTACAGTATGGAATTTTACTCAGCCATGAAGAAGAATGAAATCTTATCATTCGCAAGTAAATGAATGGAACTAGAGAACATCATTCTGAGTGAGATCAGCCAGGCTCAGAAGACCAAAAATCATATGTTCTCTGTCATATGAGGACTTTAGATCTAGGGTAAATGCAGAAATGTGGTTGAACTTTGATCACATGACAAGGGCACATAAGGGTGATATGGGAATACATAGAAAACCCAAAACATGAAAGCATTTGATGTCCCCACTCCAGAGGAGCTAATACAGAAACCTTAAAACAACAGAGGTTATCATGAGAAGGGGATCAGGAACCAGTGTAAAGATCAGTTAAAGATGAATCAACATGGGTCATAACACGTGTACACGAAAGCAATGCTAGGAATATTTCTGTATAACTATCCTTAACTCAACTAGCAAAAACACTTTGTCTTCCTTATTATACTTGTTTCTTTTCTTCAACAAAACTAGTGATAAAGGCAGAGTATGACCTGCCTGGAACTGAGGAGGGAAGGGGGTAGAGCGTGGGAGAGGGGGCCAGGGGGGAGAAATGACCCAAACAATGCATGTACATGTGAATAAATGAAAAATTAAAAAAATTGTTTAAAATTATTGTGTTGGCTGTAAAATGGTTTGTACAACAATTTCACTCTTTTTGTCTCTTTTACCTACCTTCATTTTTTTTCTATGATGAAAAATGAGAGGATTACTGTAGCAAAAAAAAGAAAAGAAAAGAAGAGTGATTTGATGTTTAGAGATTTGGGAAAAGCTGATTATAGAATTGTTAATATTCACCTTGTCTGTATTCTCATTTCAGGAGAGTGAGGTCACAACAGGATCCAGAAAATAGAAAGCAAGGAGTAAGAAATTGCCAGCATTTCTCCACAAAAGTGTAAGTGGCATCTCCATCCTGAGCTTTTGTCCCTGAAACAGTTTGAAGAGAAGTATGCACATACTGTACTATTGGAAGTAGTCAAGGGGATTCAATTCTCATTTTTTCTAATGCTGGGATCCTCTGTGAGTGAGTTTGAACTAACTGACTAGAAATTAACTGAACATCCATTGCAAAAGTTTTGGTTCTTTAGCCAAAAACAGACTGGATATTGATTCATAAATAACTTCTTCTTGGGAGACTGTGTAAGTTAGTTTCCTAAAACATGACATGCATTGATCCAGTATGTGGCTTTTCTGAATTTTCAGAACACCATCAGGGTTTTCTTTTTTCCATTTTTTATTTTCATATATTAGTTGTACAATGAGTTTTTACTGTGATATTTCCAAGTATGCATCGGGGTTTTAAAAATGACTAGTAATGTCTATGAAGCTTGGCAACTGGCCCCACTTTTTTCTAAAAATCCTTCTCAATTACAGCAGTGACAATCTGAGTTAATTCAATTCTTTGGTACCTTTTCTTCAGGATGAATACAGGTAATAGCATCAACCTGTGAACTAAAACATGTCTTTTCTCAGTCTCAGCTCTGTGTCTGGTTCATGGTATGATTTTAGGAGCCATGAAGATACAGCTGGGAGCTTCATTAACTGATGTAGATTTCCTGGATATCATTAAAAGTACTAAAACACACTGTAATAATCCTACATAATTGAGCTGGATTTCAAGTAATAGTAGTACTTCATCAATGGATGTGGAAACATTGTTCTAAAGTATGGAATCTAATAGACCTGGCATTGGCACACAAAAAAAAATTCATGAGAGTATGTTTAAAAATATAGCAAGTGAATTGTGGCTTGTATAAAATAATTGAGTAATGTAGAGCCACATTCCTTTTTATGCACCTCTATAGATTACATGTACTTAATGGATGAAAAATTAAAGGTATAACAATGTATACCACTGATTTCAAACTTGCACACTGAGAAGATATATACAGGTGTGTGTTCCTGCACATATATATCTTGGCCACTGTGTGCTTTTAATAAACTAAAAGCTACATTATAATGTCACCTTTGTTTTTGATTGAACATTTCCCTCTGAAAAGAAAAGACAACACAGTGTGGGGACCCTTCACCTTTACTCCAAATGCTTGGGACAATGCAAACTGAGGTTTTCCAGCGTATTGCAAATACAATTTCCTCTTCTAGACCCTTAAGCAATGCTTCAAATAAAGTCATATCCAAAGCCAAGACTATTAGGTCTTATAACAATGAGACTTCACAAGGCATGTGTCCAAGGTTTTCACTCCTTTCTTCTGTGGGAACAGCCTCCACCCTCCAGCAAATGTAAACCTAAGGATTGTCCTTGACCTACAGCCAGCCTGATTTTGGTGGATACATGGTATCTCAGTAGGGGTGTTGTTGTCACTAATCTCTGAATTTCCAGTAAAAGGAAACTGGCTTAGGAGTCCCCGGAGAGAGAAGTCAGGCAAATCATAAAACATCAGGCCCAGAGAATGAACAAAAATCAAAACTTAAGCCTTCTGGTGGAGGAAGTGGTAAGGCACAGGGTCATGCTTTTTCTGGGTGCCCACCCCTTTTGCAGAGTAGCCAGTGGTGGGTGTAGGATGGGGAACACAGGGTAGTCAAGGGTACAGTTTTGTGTTTGCATATCTAGTACAGAATAATTTTTCAAAGTCTTAATAGTCTTTATTATTCCAACCAACTCTCATTTCCCTATTTTGCAATTAGACCAGCCTAAAGAGGAACTGGTGGCTTTAGGAGAACTGCTGAAATTTCTGTTTCAGCAACTGCTTTCTTTCCCATCTTTTAGTTCACACCAAATTTGCTGGAGGACACTTAGGGCTGGTGTGTGGCTGGGGTTGTCTGCACCATGAACAGCTTCAGGACTACAATCCTCCTCTGGACCATAGCAGTATGCACAAGACTAGACAAGTCTCTGGGAGAGACAGATGAAGCTGGATTTCAAAAGTGCAAGGATGCCTTGAAACTACCTGTCCTGGAGGTCCTGCCTGGAGGGGGCTGGGATAATCTGCGGAATGTGGACATGGGACGGGTATTGGACTTGAGTTATACTAACTGTAAGACCACAGAGGATGGACAGTACATCATCCCTGATGCAATCTTTACCATTCCTCAGAAACAGAGCAACTTGGAGATGAACTCAGAAATCCTCGAATCCTGGGTGAATTACCAGAGCAGCACCTCGTTTTCCATCAATACGGAGCTCTCCCTCTTTTCCAAAGTCAATGGCAAATTCTCTGCTGAGTTTCAGAGGATGAAGACCCTTCAAGTGAAGGACCAAGCTGTAACCACCCGAGTTCAGGTAAGAAATCTGGTCTACACAGTCAAAATCAACCCAACTTCAGAACTTAGCTTGGAGTTTAAGAAGCAGCTCATGGACATTTGTGACCGTCTAGAGAACAACCAGACTAGGATGGCCACCTACCTGGCAGAACTCCTGGTCCTCAACTATGGCACCCACATCATCACCAGTGTGGACGCTGGGGCAGCTCTTGTTCAGGAGGACCATATCAGGTCCTCTTTCCTCCAGGACAGCCAGACCAGCCACACTACTGTGACAGCATCTGCTGGAATTGCCTTCTTAAACATTGTAAACTTCAAATTCGAGGAGAACTACATCTCTCAGAATGCCCTGACCAAGAATTACCTCTCCAACCGAACCAACTCCAGGGTGCAGAGCATTGGAGGGGTTCCGTTTTACCCAGGCATTACTCTCCAAGCTTGGCAGCAGGGCATCACCAATCATCTGGTGGCTACAGACCGTGCTGGCCTGCCTCTGCATTTCTTCATCAAGCCGGACAAACTGCCTGACTTGCCAGGCCCCTTGGTGAAGAAGCTGTCTAAGACTGTGGAAAACGCTGTGAGACGTTATTATGCCTTCAATACCTATCCCGGCTGCACAGATGTTGATTCACCCAATTTCAATTTTCAGGCCAATACAGATGATGGCTCCTGCGAGGGGAAGATGACCAACTTTTCCTTTGGTGGGGTTTATCAGGAATGCACCCAACTCACAGGGAGTGGAGTTGTCCTCTGCCAAAACTTGGAGCAGAAGAATCCACTCACTGGTGCTTTCTCCTGTCCCTCTGGCTATTCTCCAGTCCATCTCCTGTCTCAGACCCACGAGGAGGGTTACAATCACATGGAGTGTCAAAAGAAGTGCACCTTCTTTATCTTCTGTAAGACAGTGTGTGAAGATGTGTTCCAGGTGGCAAGGGCTGAATTTAGGGCTTTTTGGTGCACAGCGAGTGGCCAAGTACCTGAAAACTCAGGACTTCTCTTTGGGGGCCTCTTCAGCAGTAAGAGCATCAACCCCATGACAAATGCACAGTCATGTCCAGCTGGCTACATTCCACTGAGCCTCTTTGAGAGCCTCAAGGTATGTATTTCTCAGGATTATGAGTTGGGATACAGGTTTTCAGTCCCCTTTGGTGGGTTCTTCAGCTGCACAGTTGGGAATCCTTTGGTGACTTTTGCCATGTCCAGTGACTTAGGGGCACCTTCTCTGAAAAAGTGTCCTGGGGGCTTCAGTCAACACCTAGCCCTCATCAGCGATGGATGTCAAGTGTCTTACTGTGTCAAGGCTGGGGTCTTTACAGGGGGGTCCCTCCCCCCTGCTAGGCTCCCACCTTATACTAGACCACCCCTCATGAGTCAGGCTGCCACCAACACTGTCATAGTGACCAATTCTGAGAGTTCTAGATCCTGGATTAAAGACTCTCAGACCCACCAGTGGAGGCTGGGAGAGCCAATAGAGCTGCGTAGAGCCATGACTGTCATCCATGGGGACAGCAGTAGTCTATCAGGAGGGGCAGCAGCTGGAGTCACACTGGGGGTCACCACCGTCCTGGCAGCTGTCATCGCCTTGGCCATCTATGGCACCCGGAAGTACAAGAAGAAGGGATATCAGGCAATAGAGGAGGAGAGGCAGAGATTGGCTCCAAGCTTTGCAGCAACTGGAGACACCCCAGACCAAGATCAGGAGGAAAATCCAGCTTAAATTCCTACAGCAGAGTTTCTGTCATCTTGGACCTAGCTTCAAGCATGTGTTACATTATTTCTTTCTCTACTTCTGCCTTCCTAAGTATTGAAGTGACAAATGCAGCAAAAAGCAGGTATAACTTTGTGACTTCCTGTTTAAGTCTGTGGACCAGGAAATTAAAGGAGCTATATGAACAAGGTTGGGTTAGGGAGAGGGAGCAATTGTGACTCATTCAACAAAAGCCACTGTGGGCACTAACACATAATGGGGGTGTCACTTACTTGTCACTTATTTTCTTCACCTGAATGCACGTGTGTAAAGAGAGGGGAGGGGGAATTGTGGACATTTGGATTTGGAAACTGCATTTTGTCTCAGTTTGTAGTTGTTTCCAGTTTGTGAGCTGTCAGAATCTGCCTTAAGCACCACCCTCCCTCTATTTTATCTTTTAAAAGCTATTTGGGTTTCATGCTCCCAGAAGCTGACAGAGCCCTGAAAAGATAAAGGAAGTCCTTCCTGGCCATGGTTTTTTAGCTTCAAAGTTTAGCTCCCTGTTGATAGACTGTGTTGGTTGTCTTAAAGAAAAGATATTGTTTATACCAATTCCACTTTTTGCAACTGACCCACAGTTAGGACTTACTTAGATCATACCACTCTTGGACTTCTGTCTAGTGTCACCAAGGCCTCAGAAAATATTTTAACTTCTATTACGAGGCCAAGATCAAAGGGATGATGGCGAGACAAGCAGTAACTTAAGAAAAACATTCTGGTGCTCTGGGAAACTTGGAATTCTTATCCAACTGACTTAGCTCATCATAAATGAGACACTGAAAGGAGCTATAGTTCATTAGATAGATCAAGCATTATGGTTTCAGGTTCTATGTTAACAGAAAACAATTCCTTCTCTTCTATCTTCCCATCACAAGTGTGCATGCACACACACACACACACACACATACCACATGCTAATAAGAATGTCCTAGGAATGAAAAAGCAAAAAGTCAAAGTAAGGCCACATCTAAGTATTTCTTCCTTCTTAAAACCAAAACTGTATAGAAAGTTCCAATTACTGTACCATTATTTTTTCTTTCTTTTCACTGGTAAAAAGGGGAATGATATGATCAAATCCATGTCTTCAAATGAATTGAATAAAGCATCCAGAACCACTTTTATTTATTTCAGTTCCAGGCTGACTTTCCTGAGGCTTCTGGATGCATGACTGTTACCTGGTATTACTTGGGGCTTTGCTCAATTTTAATACCAGTCCTAATTAATTATAATAACCTCCACAAGATTAATGTTCCTCCACAAAATCAAATGTTATTAGTGAGTTATTGTCTGTGAAGGGTAATTTGTTCTCTCCTTGTTAATGTCACAACTAGGGCTTGTGTTTATGGTAGACCCTTCTGAAGAGCTTGAAGTGTCCAGCCTGTGGGAAGGTGAGAACAGGAATACCCATTCATTTCCTATAGAGATACAGAGAAGTCAATAAGAGAATTGAGCCTTGCTCACCCCACTACCCAGCCAAGGCCACTGGTTCTGTAATCTCTTCATTTAACCCTGCCTCTTCAGCACAAAATGTTGTAAACCTCTGGGTGTTTTGTGGGTTCTGGGTGTTTTATATGTTTCAGCCAAGCTAACCACTTTTCTACAAAGACTGAGTTTCCTCTATGAATTCGTTAACAATTACTGACTCAGAAGGCAATATGCAGCCCATGACTTCAAGATTTTTAATGTACTAACTGCCCATTGAAACAGAAAGTTCTGTACAAACTTATGTTTCTACTAACAAAATTGCCCGTAAGTATGCATTAAAATATTTACTAAGGAACACTGTCTGACTGTCATCCATATGATCAGGATGTGGGGGCTGCAGTTCACATTTGTCAAGTCACTTTACAAAGTCTGACCCTGGGTGTGGGGGTCTCAGGCTCTGCGGAGTTCTAGTTTCCTGACTGATGATCTTGGCTGGGGTCTGTGGAAAGACCAGTCCTGACTTCTGAGCAAACCACACCCTATGGACTACCAGAGATGGAGACAGATTGTAGTGACAAAGGTGGCTCTGCATTTGCATTTTATTTTTTTATTCTCATTTTACTGGGGTGATTAATACTAAACATTTATATGCAAAACAACAGCCTGTAAATGATTAAAACATACACTACAGTAGTCATGTGAAGCAACCTTTAAGAATCAGCATTTTCAATTTTAAAGATGAACTTTTTCCCACAAGTTCACATACCCATTTCCCCTAACCATGTGGTCTGTTTCATTGGAGGAACAGAGAGTTAAACCAGGTCAAATGTGTGGGTAGAAAAAACAATGTGGAAAAAATTTAAAAATTAAAGAAAAGGGACTTTCCATTTATTTGGTAGAAGGGCTTGTGGCTGCTAACAGACATGTGGAAAAACCCCAAATGCCTCTCAGGTGCACTAATCTACAAAAAGCAGAAGGTTAACAACAACAATCTGTGGTTGTTCATTTGCCATTTATTGTTCTGCACATACACCTCATGAGCACCAGGTGGCGATGTCCTCTCATAGAGCAACACCAACAACTTCAGAACACAGCAGATACAAACAGAACAAATTACACTTGAACATTTACCTGCCCTCTCCCAGAAGCCCCACCTCAGATGCCAGAGACCACAGACAAGGAAAGGGACAGGGGTCCTTTCTTTCACCACACCGGCCTTCCCCCTATCCTCTCATGCACACAAAAGTGCAATACCAGGACAAGAACTTTTGACCAAGTATAAAACCACAGAGTTCAAATTTTACAAAAGGGAAGGGGAATGAAAACACAAAGGCACACGCAATCATGTATATACCACATAATCTCTTAAGGGATGACCATCTGACTAGGTGTGTCTCCAATCCCCTTTGTCATTCTTGGAGACTCAGAGAAGGAGAATTAGGTTGCTGGTGCTAAAAACATGAAAGAAAAAGCATAGGGTCCCGTGTTTGGGCCGGGAGAACACAGCAAGGCTTCTAGTGGGAAACACCCTGTGTCAAAGTAGTGGATGACCAGGGCTCTGCTGGGTTCTCACTGTACCTGTCTGGGTTGGCACAAGAGAAAGGGCAAGGGAATGCCCCCTGCCTTGCCTGGCACAGTGTTAGAAAGGAAATCCAAGGCCATTTCTGCCCAGAAAGTCAAAGAAGAGCAGTTGAGGATGAGGGGGCCCCTACTAAGTATCCTCAAAGAGGAAGAGAAATAGGGCATAGACATATCAAAGTCCTAGGGGCAAAAGCTTGAAGGTGTGACACTGACTCTCAAAGCAGTATTGTCACTGGTACACCTACTCCCTTAGACATCCTCTTGGGTCCTCTTCCTTCTGCCTTTGGCTGTCCCCTTCCCATTTCTGCCTGATGAAGTCTCTTCCCATAACCTGTTTCCAGCTATCAAATCATATCTTCATTTCTTCTCCAATTCCCACTACTTCATTGTATTTCCCTATCCATGGACACTCAGTCTATTTCCTCATCTTTGTGGCCAAGAAGACTGGCATATAGTTGGCAAGGGTGCTGAAGAAAGAGATGATACTAAGCCTACAATGAGGCTCTTTTAACGATCTCTGGCATGTGGCAACCTAGCAAAGGTTATGAGGCATGACATTAAAGTCCGTAGGGATGTCTCTTCCATTTAGTTCTATTTCCTTCCTGACTGTGGCAGGAATTTAGCCTGAGGTGCAGTGAACTCAGGACCAGTCTCCTGGTCTGCTGGTGGGACAAAATGTCTTCCTGCTGATAGGAGAGACTGGAACTAAGATGGCAGGGACAATTCCTCCTATCAGTGTTTCCTCTAGTGGAGCTGATTAATGTCTCTGTACCCATTTGAAGAGTGAAGAAAGATTCAGCACCAGCAAGTTCCAAGGAACTAGGTGACACTCAGGTGAATCCACTAGCCACACCAATGGCAAAATAGCCATAGGCCCAACAGTAGGCAGCTATAAAGCTGGTGCTCATGAAAGCCTGGCCTTCGGTTCTAACTTAAGTACCATTTTTGAAGGTTCTTTTGTTTCTATTTTTTCTAGCATCAAAAACCTTCCAAATCTTATGAAATGTATATATGTATATATATACATATCAAACCCCTAAAACATGAGGTATATAAATTCAAATTAGTATCTAGAGGAACTTCCCCCAAACACGTAAATCAAAGAACCCATTTTCCAAGGGGGAATTGAGTTTCTCTTCTTGATTCCTCCTTCTCTCCTCTCAGATCCCCCAATCCATTCCTAATGGGAGCCAAAGACAAGAGGATGTTGGGACAAAATAAACAACATCTTAGGATGCAACCCAGATGCTTGTTAGACAAGACCATAATGTGATCCCAATCCTGTTAGGAATGAGTTAAAGAGGCTTCACCACAATGCTCTAAGTCTGTAATAGTTGGGGGGGGGTGGGGCCCAGCACCATTTCTGGGCTTGAATTGGAAAATTTGTATGGAGACAGATTGAAGTCTCATAGAAACAAGACTGGATGGAGGTTGGCTTTGATTCAATCTTGAAAAGAAAGGGGTCAATCTAGTTATCACTTTAGCACATTTTCTCAAGTACAGTTCTGTCTCCATCAGGGTATAGGTTTATTATGAGATGTTCTGACCAAGGGTGAGGAAAGTCAAGGGATCATCCCCGGACTGTTTCATCTCCATCAGAGCTGGGGTTTGATATTTTGTGAAACAAGAGTTCAGGGATATGATGCTAACCTGGCCCCTGATGCACACATACCCCACACACATATGCACACACACAGATGGCCAGAGCTCAGTATGGGCTCCACTCACAGTGACTTTATGAAATTCATGGAACCTTTGAGCTGGTCTGGAATGAATTGGGAAGAAGGCTATGGGTTCCTCTCCCTGAGGACAGTGCAGATGCTCAGTGGGATACAAGCTCTGGTTTGATCAGAGAGGGGCTGGAAACAGCATCCTGGGATGCCACCCCAGAAAGGAATTCCAAAGTCCTTCCATCCATTCAAGAGAACCAGATGCCTCTTTGGACAGGTCAAGAGTGTGCAGAGGAGGGCAGGGCCTGCACAAGCCAGGACTGTGATGAGAACTAAATGAGCTCCCAGAGGCTTTTGCCTTTCTGAGCCACTAGGCAAGAAGTGCTTCCTCACTCTACAAAAGGCATTCAATTTCTGATGTCACAGCAGTTTAGCGGTCTACCCCTTGCCCTCCTGTCCCCAACTTTGCACAGTGTGAACTCCCTGCCTCCAGTGGAGGAGAGAGAAGTGGAAACTCCGCTCCCAAAGCCAAGTGGAAGCAGTGAGAAACCAGCTTAGGCAAGGATCCTAGGCTTCCCCAGGCCAGGGTATGGAGTGCCCAGGCACTGCCCATACCCCAAATATGCTGAGCGTGATCCCTACTTGGGGGAGGGTGGGATGGAGGCTCTTGCCTGTCCAGCACCAAAAACTCCATGGGTAAAGACTGGCTGGCCTTCATCCCATGTCCCCTTTGTATAGGATGAGGTTTATATGAATGATGTCTCCTTACTCAAATGTCTCCTCCCTATGGGTAGGAAGGAAGAGGGATGGAGATAGGGTAAAAGGGGAGATGAAGGAGTTGGGAGGGCATGACACCAACTTCTACTTTGACTCTCCTCACTTCTGCCCTGTGGTAGGACCCTGAGGTCCTCAAATCTTCTCCAACCTCAGTCCTTCTCATGGGCAGTGCTTTCCTCAGAGATGCCCTGAGCAGCCAGTTCAGCTAGCACGTTATCCAGGTAATTGGCATCTGGGTATCCATGGCCAGTGAGATTGGAGCCAAACTCTGTCTTGTGGTGCACCTCATTCCAGATGACAGTATCTGACTCGCCCGTGGTGCTGGAGGTACCAATGGCAAAGATTAGGCGGCGATCCCAGGCCACAAGCAGCAGCTTCAGAACCTAGGGGAACAAAGGCAGAAGACCAAAAGCAGACATTCATCATTAGTCACTCACTACTCCCTGGATGAAAGAATCATCCCAAGGGTCTCCCCCCCACCCCTCCTGTTTTGCAATACCCTAAACAATCCCGTGGAGGAGAAACAAATTTAGACTTGCAGTCAGGGAATTACAGGTTAAGTATTGAATCTGTCAATGGATAACTGTGTGACCTTGGACAGGTTCTAGCATCTCTTCAAGTTTTAATTCCCTTATTTATAAAATGGCAATCATATATTATCTGCCCCAAAGGTTGTGAACATTGTAAGATGTAAGGAGAAGGACTGAGGTTGGAGGAGATTTGAGGACCTTGGGGTCTTACCAGAGGGCAGGAATAGTACTGCATGAGAAGCACTTTGATACTAGTGCATGGAGCACATTACTTAAAAATGTCAGCTGCAAACACAATGACTACATTTTTAAGCAAAGGATCTAGAAATTGAAGGTGCTTATGATCTGACACCTGAATTTCTGCCCCTCACCACCACTATCTTGAGGTGAAATTAATTTACCAACAGCTGAAGTTGTGGAATATTTTGCTAGTGACACCTTGCAGCACTTTGACCTCTTTCTGGCTACTGAAAGCTGGAAGCCAGGTATATGGCAGGTGCTTTTATTGTCCCTATTTTACAGTGAGGAAACTGAGGCTTGCAAAATGTTCTAATTCAGTTAAATTCAACAAAATCATGGTCAAGCAAGACTAATCTTTAATTTACTATTTAAAGTCTTGGTCAGAGCAGTGTCCACCATCAGGAAGGCACCTGATAAAAATTTCCTCATTCAAAACTGAACTATTGCAAACATGGTTTTAGCTGGTGGTTGGAAAATCATAATAGTAGAATAAAAATACTAAACTTAAAAATACCAGTTATTTAGTCACACAATGGTTGCAATAATTGGATAAGAGAGGTAGTGTAATTATTCCCTTTTTCCAGAGTAAGGAAACAGAGATTCAGAAGATAAAAACAAACAAGGAAAAAATTGCCTTGGTCTTATACCTTGTTAAGTGTTTGGAGGGGGCAGAGGTTGTGGAGGGGGGGGTGGATTTGACCCCAGGACTCTGCTTGACTCCACAGCCCATGGTCTGTAGCATGCTCAGTGGAAGTTACTATAGATGTACAGGCAGAGACTGCATTGGAGCTGAGTCTCAGGAAGGGGAGGATTTGAGGTATATCAACGGGGGAAGATGTGTACACATAGTAAATAAATATAAGCCCAAGACATGGATAATTATAACAACTGTCATCACACTGCATTTTACAAATGTTACTTTCACTTAATTCCTACGATATTCTGTTCACACAAACAAAAATTATCATCACTACTTCATAGATTAGGAAACAAGTTCTAAGGACATGAATGTTTTTACCAATTTCCACAGAAAATAAATGGCAGAAGTAGGATGGGAACTTGAACTGACCTGTCTCCATGGTCTTATTGTTCCTAACTTTATGACAAAGCTCAAGTTAGGGTCCTGGAACAGCAGGTGTGCGAGGGACAAGGGTCTCACTAAAGAGAATTAGTAAGTGAAGAAGGCTTAAGCCTTCTGCACTTTGTGAAGAAGGGAAAGCTATTAAAACAGTTGTTTGTTGTTTCTAAATTTCATTTATTTTAAACAAAGGATGTTGATGTTGTAAACTGGTGCTTTGGCATAACTGACCTGGTGGCAGGTTAAAGATGAAGCATTAAGTAGGTGGGTTGTAACTGAGTCAAGTCATTTGGAAGAAGTAAGCTAAATGGATGTGGTAGATAAGTTAAAAGTCCAAGATGGTGAATGTGTCTAGTCTGGTCCCCTGGGATTTAGAACAATTCATTAACATAAAGGGAAAGCCTGGGAAAAGGGCAACCCTTAGAAACGCTATGAATCTACTTTTAACATAAACTTTTACAGTGGAGAAATTTAGCCAACAATTGGGAGGTAGATCTCAGGTTCTGACACAAAAATTGGGCTTGTAATATTGTGCTGCACATCTTCATGACGTGAATGACCCTCATTGTTCCAAACTCTCTGCTTCTTCCCTGGAAGAAAAGAACACATCCAGATCTCTGTCATGAGAACTATGGTACCTCCCGGTGTTTTTCCCTACCTCACCCTTCCTGGCTTGTCCATGACTTGATGGGACCTATGAAATGTGACTGGAAGTAAAAAAAAAAAAACAAAACTTGAGGAAGTCTAAATGGGATTACACACTTCCACTTGGAGTCTGCTTTGGTCCTCTCCCCATTCCCCAGGAAGGGCATGAGCCACAGAAGGGCTGCTTCTTTGACTTGGACTCCAGAACAGGAAAGCACATGGAGCAGTCTGAAGCTGAATGTGTATGTACCCCCTAAATTCATATGTTGAAATACTCACCCCCCAAAATGATAGATAGTATTAGGAAGTGAGACCTTTTGGAGGTGATTAGGTCATGGGAATGGACTCAGTGAATGGGATTATCACTTTTATTAAAGAGAGTTGGGAGAGACTCCTTGTCCCTTCTGCCATGTGAGGACATAGAAAGAAGGCTTTGTCTATGAACAGGAAGTGGGCCCTCGCCAGACACCAATTCTGTTGGTGCCATGGTCTTGGACTTCCAGCCTCCAAAGCCATGAAAAACAAATTTCTGCTGTTTACGACACACTGGGTCTTTGGTATTTTGTTATGACAACATAGCCACGCCACAGCGTGCAAAGTGCCTGAAAACTACACAATTGTGGAAGTAAGCTGCTGAGATTTGAAGAGAAGACTGACTAAACCACACTGCTTGACCAGTACTTCACCCCAGTGCTCCCCTTAAACCAATGGTTCTTATCCATTTTGAGACCAGGAAAGATTCTGAAAATCTAATGATTGTTCTGGCCTGATCCACAGAGAGACAAAAATAATTTCTTATTTTAACCAGTGTTTATAGAGTCACTGAAGTATGATCGTGAATTACTAGGAATCCAGAGATCCAACCATTCCCTCTGCTGTTTTGGAAAAAATATATAAAAAAAAATTCCCACCAATTAAGAATCTCTGCAAGAGCAGAGTGTGGTCTGACCACTTTGGGACCTTGTAAGGACGAAGTAGGTATTAGTTCTGCATTTCTATCAAGCTCCTAGGGGTTAACAGTGGTGTTGCTCCCAGGTTTGAGCGGCAGGGCGCTAGACAAAGGATCTTAAAATATATACCCTGAAGTGGAAAAAAAAGCCCCATTCCTCCCCACCTGAAAAAAAAGTTCTAATCACACTCATCTTTACCTGTGGTTGACTCAGATATGACCTTGTCACCATGTTTATCCAGAGTTAAAAAGAGACCCAGTTCTCTCTGGCCTGCACCTTGTAAGGAGCAAAACATTAGACCCTGACCTAGAACTAAACTCTCTAGCCCGACCGAAACATTTGCTCTTACTTTTCTCCCTTTCTCGCTGTCTGGAAGGTAACAGTGTCGAGGGAAGCCACGGGCACTGAAACTCTTCCCAGGATTTGGGTGTTCTGGCCCCTGAAAGCAGAAAGAAAGAAAATAAAGGAAATTTTTTTGTTCTCAAAATTTTCCTGATGAGAGGAGAGACAAGCTGGGATTAATTAAAATTATGACAATCATGATGGCCATACAGTCTAGACTGAGAACAGATCCAGAAAGCAGTGTGAGTAGTCACTTGACTCACATGCACGACATCCTGAGATTGGTCCAGAACACTGCTTCCCAGCAAATTAGCTGGGATCCTCTTCTGAAGCTTTTGCTCCCCATCTTCTGGATAGGAAATGACGAGGTATACTCACCTTGTGGGATTGTTACGAATATTAAGCGAGCTTGGTGCCTGAGGCATAGTGAGGGAGCTCAGTATATGTTAAAATCATCATCATCTTCACTTACTGTTTTGCAAATGAAGAAAACTGCAGCCCAGAAAAGTTAAATAGTTTCCATAATGTCAGTGGCTGTGCTGAAATCTAAGCCCAGGTTTTCTAAGTCACAATCTGGACTTCTTACCTCAGAGTGACTCAGAATAACCAAGTGCCTCCAAGCTGAGCCACGCAATCAGAATTTTCTGGAAGATTCCTGAGACATCCCCACGCCCTTCTCTTCAAGGGTTTTTATTTGTTTTCTTGCTGACAATACAGATTGTGATATTCAGGACTAAAAATCTCCTAATAACATCTCAGTTATTGTCATCTAATACTTCTGTTCAGTAGTCAACTAAAGCAGAATTGAGTCTCATCCAGATGTGATGGTTTTAGATATAGTTTGTCCCCTGCCAAACTCCTGTTAGCATTTGACTGCCATGGCCGACACATGGGGACTTTAGGAGGCAATGAGGTTATGGGGGGGAGGTTTAATGCTTTCTAAAAGGACTTCTCATTTCATTCCCAAAAGATTGGACTAGTTACTGTAAAAGTGTGTTGCTTTGAAGCAAAGCTGTTCCTTGTGTTCTCCCTCTTTGCACATGTCCATTTGTCCTTTTGCTTTCTGTCATGAATTGAAGCAGCCTGAGGTTCTTGCCAAATGCAACCAGATACAACTGCTGACCTCAGACTTCCCAGAGCCATGAAGAATGTGAACTTCTATTCTTTGTAAATCACCCAAACTCAGGTATACTGTGACAGCAACAGAAAACAGACCAAGATACCAAGCTTCGTAGTCAGGGCCCAGAATGGTTCCACTGGTTCCCTTCACTGGCTCATGAAAAGCAGTAACCATGCACATAGTTTCTACCCATACAAATGTTTACCTATAATTTCTAAGCATTCCTGAATTCCTCAGGGAAGAAAACCATGTTTAAGAAACGTTTTTCAGACAGGACTGTAAAATAGGTAGTGTGTGTGTGGAGGGGTACTTGTCAGAGAGGGGAGGGTGAATGGAGGAGATGGAGGTGAGGGAATATGGTTGATGGGCTTCATATACATATATGAAATAGTATGATGAAACCTCTTCTAATTGCTTTAAGTGGAGTACAGAGAGGCTTGCGGGGTGGGGGGGAGAGATGGTGGACCATCTAACCAATGTATAATGTAAGGCTATTTGGAATTATCACAATGAATCCCCCCTGTACAACAACTATATCCTAATAAAAACGGAAAAAGAAAACCTTTTCAGATACAACCAATATAATATCGATTATTTCATGCAACTGTGGGTACAAGTTCTCCCCCACGTGAACAGTAAATGTGTCCTGGTTGAATAAAGGAATGAGTGAATGAATAATGAAAAACTGCAAGAACACACAAATATTCATTTTCTCTTATTATGCACAATAGCTCTGAACTGATAAGAAAAATTCTATGCTTTGTATTTCTTTTGGAATAGCACAGGATCATTTATAATTTAGCCACCTGAATGACAGGATGAGCACAATCAGGATCTCAGAGATGGAAATGGTCCCTGTGAGCTGAGAGAAGCAATATCTTTCTAGAGATGCAGGATTTCAGAGCTATGATTTCACATTCCTAGTAAATCACTACAAATGTACATCACTGTTGTTAAATCAGGCTGCCTTACTGAGGGGCCAAGTCTGATCCTGGCTCCAACTGCTCCTCTCCTGCCTGGAGTGGCTGATTGTGTATACAGCTCAGAGTCTGCCTGGCAGTGACCCAGTAAGGCTATGAGTTCTGGGCCTGTGGCCAGGTGGAGCAGTCACGACTCTGCCTGAGCCTAGCCCAGAGCTTCTTCCCCAGGGAATTGTTTTCTGCAGTGAAGGCAGTGGTTAAAGGTCTCAGCTCCTCACAGAAGCCCAAACCCATGTGGTCCCTGGAGTTCTGAGAGACACAGCACTGAGCATCTTGCTACTGACTCTGAGCAGTGAGTCTGCAGAGTGGCTATGCTAAGCACTGAGGCCTGTGTTTCCTTTGACAGGAGTTGCAGAGTTTCTGGAGGAGACAGGACTGTGCAGAGGCAGCAGGAATCCCCCCTGTACCCTAGTGCAGGCTCTCTGTTCCTTAACAAGAAGGCTTGGAAAAGTAGCCTTATCCTGAATGAATGCACCACCTTGTTCTTTGCCTGCATCAATGTGTTCTGCTTCCCACCCTACAGTTTTTCTTGACTCCCATATTTTCATTCATCCCTATTATTTCATCAGGCTGCCTCAGAATCAGTTCTGAAGTTTCCCCTGACCAACATCCAACCATATCTCACTCTCTTATCTTGGCCCGTCCCTCATTTAGGTACTATGACTAGAGGCTGGACATTTGCACCGGTCTCCTAAATAGTCCTTTTCTGTTCATCCACCATTCTTACATCAGAATGGCTGTCCTACAGCATGATCCCAATCACATGTTGTCCCATAATCCTAATAATATACCCAGTCTTCAGGGGCTCCCCACAGCCTAAGCGAAATCCACATCCCTGGCCTTAAATTTCAAGGCTTCCTATGACTTGGCCACAATCCCTCTCAATGCTAGTCTTCTATATTCCCATCACACTTCTTCTCTCCACCCCTTTCCAATCTTAGGCCCCAAGTTAAACTATTATTACTCTTAAATATCTCACTATTTAGTTATATTCTCCAACGAAAAATTCTCACTTTCATTTCTTCACATCTTTCGAAGATCTGTTAGAGAGTGACTTTTACCACAAAGTCTCCTCCAGCCTTCTTGACAGGCATACACAATCCCTTTCCTCTTTACCATGACAAATAGGATCCACAAAAAATGAAGGTAACAGAGTGCTCAGCACCTTAGTACTGTGCCAAGCACCCTGAGATGCATATACAGACAGTATCTCTCACATCTACAACACCTCTTCCTTTTAGGTTCCCCAGTATATTACTGAAGAAACCAAGCTCCACAAAGCAGGCAGTTGTCCAAAGTCACAAGCTAATGAAGACTCAGACAGGAACTCCAGTTCTAACACAGGCTCATCAAATTTTGAAGGTGTTTCCCCTTTGTCTATACTGCCTCTCAATGTCTGCATCCATTTTTTGCTCTTTGGGTTAGTTAGTGAATTATATTTATCTTTCCCTGACTGGTTAGTAAGTACCCCAAGGAATAATCATGCTTTATTCAATTGTTTTATGGGCTATCATTACTTCCCTCTTTCATTTCCTCATCACATCTCTATTTGGAAGTACTTTATTTATTTGTTTATGATCTTTCTGGCACCACTAGAATGGGGATCTCAGGGATCATTCATGCTTTGTACATTGCTTTTCTAATACCTTGAACCCACCTGAACCACATTCCACATTCAAAACATTTGTTAAATAAAAGGCAAAATGAAGTAATTCAAATAGAAGGGAGGGAAAGAGGGTGAACTAATGGATATTCACTAAAGAAATGAATCCAGTCTGTACTTAGAATATTTAGAAAAAGCTTCACTGTGTGAAGGAAGGGCTGCATTTGTATTTATTCACAGGAATACTTTACAAATTTGTTCTTCAGGACTGTCTTTCAAAAACCAAAAAGGAAAGAAATGCCCACAAAAAACCAAAGCCAAGTGTAACTATCAAATTTGAAACACAAACAAATGTTAGACAAAGAAATTGCACCTCCAGAAAATTACTCTGCAGATATACTCACATGTATACAAGATTATTCATTGTAGTATAATTTGTTGTAGCAAAAGATTGGAAGCAATCCATATGAACATCAAACAGAGATGGTTGAATTAAATTATTTATACAATGGATTATTACACAGTCATAAGAAAAACAAGGAAGCTCTTTTTACACTGACACGGAAAACTCCATGGACTGTATTGTTCATTACAAAATGCAGGGTATGAAACAAAGTGCCTGAATGTCACTCTTTGTGTAGAAAGAACCCTGTTGCTTGTGCACAATGAACCCTGGATGATATGTGAGAAAGTAAGAACAATGGTGTGAAGGGGGAGGGTGTGTGTGGATGGGGGTGAGGTCTATACAAGGGGACAGAGTGGGGAGGGGGATAAGAGTGGAAAGGAGACTTTTCATGGTATAACATTTTTCCTGCTACACTTAAAAACAATAAAAGCGGACTGCTGTGGGTGGGCTCACCTGAATGCCAGGGGGGATGCTGTAGATAATCCGGATGGTTTTGCAGTCTGGATGGCCAGGCAAAGAGTGGGGGATGAGGTGGTACTCCATCTTCCCTGGAGGCTGTGTGCCTGTCTTCACCCCATAAATAGTCTTACAGGTTGGACACTGCAAACTCCCATCCTGAGGGGTCAAGGTCAAAGCAGCAAGATTGGGGAACAGTTTGGGTAATGAACTCCCCACCCAATCCCCAAAGGTACCAGAGATCCAGGGTCAGGAGGACAAAACGCCCTCAACTGAATAATAGACCTAAAATCCTGCCCAGCTACCTATGCTGTTTCTGCCTTTTCCAAAGCAATAGCAAGAAAATTCCACAAATAGCCCCATGCTCCATGCTAAAGGATGTAGCAGAGATGTCTCTGTCCTTGAGGGTGTGGCCAGATAAATAGGGCAGGAAACCTACACAGAGAAAAACTATTCAACTATTAACTAACTACTAAGTGAAACCGACAGCATACACTTGGGAGCAGTGATCACCCAATTTTTGTGCATCAGAATCACCCAGAGAGTGTCCTAGAAATAAAGATGTCTGGACCCCACATCAGGCCTACTGAATCAGAATTGGGAGGCAGCTGGGGGCATGGCTCAAGTGGTAGAGCACCTGCTTAGCAAGCATGCCTGAGTCAAACCCCAGTAGTGCCAAAATTAAAAAAAAAAAAAAGAATTGGGAGGCAGAAAAATGTGAACTCTAGTCAAACAGCCTGGACTTGATTCTCAGCTCTGCCATCTACCTTCTGTGTGACCTTGGAAAAAATGAATTAATCCCTCTAAGTCTTGATTTCCTTGTAGAGCAAGGACTATAATAGTACCTGTCTCTCTAGGTCATTAGAGAATTAAATGAAATAATCCATAGAAGTGCTTAGCCTATAGCACTTCATACACAGCATACATAAACTTCATTGGTATATTTATGATTTCTGTGAAGAGACTAATGCCCACAAAGGTTTAGAAACCACTGCTATGAAAAGATAAATTGGGCTATGCTGTGCTGGAATAAATGAAGATGACTTTGAGAGAATGAACCTTGAAGAATAGTTGTGAATTGGCGTAGAAGGACGGAAGGTAAGTTTTGTATAAACAACTAGAGGAGGGAATGATTGCAGTATTTTAAATCTTGCAGTAGAATTTATACTTCTAGGCCTCACTGACTAGTATTAACTGGGGAGGAATTATTAGCCCCTTTTATAGAGAAGAGAGCTGAGGCACAACAAGATTTTTGCTGCGAGCCAGAGCTAGAAATCCAGAGGGTCTTCTGCACCTCAGGGACTCTGCTAGTGGCATAGGGGGTTTTATGGTTTAAATCTGAAATGCCAACCAAAAGGCTCAAATGCTAGTTGATAGGCTTTGGGAGATGGATGGGACCATGAGGGCTCTGACCTCATCAGTGGACTGATTCATCCATTGATGGAGTCATAATTTAAATGCATTACTGGGAGGTGGTAGAGAGTTAGGTGGGGCCTACAGAAGGAGGTGGGTCGCTGGGAGCATGACTTTGTTCAAGCTCTCTTTCTCACCCACTATAGATTGAAAGTGTAAGCTAAAATAGATCTTTCCTCCTTTAAGCTGTTTTCTCAAGTGTTTTGCACAGCAATGAAAAGTGACTAAATAGATGAGTTCTGGAAGTAGTGATGTAAAGAGGTGTAGTTTCATCACAGAATCTGGTGAAGTGTCACATGATAAGGTGGGAAAGACCTACAGGAAGGCCTGGACAGCAAACCTATTCCCAGGCTCACAAGAAACAAGGATGGGGGAAATGTAGGGACAGAAGCATGAGCAGGCTGGGAATGATGTCTGAAGAAAGTGCTGCTGCACAGCTGCAATCAAAGCTCTCTCAGACAGGACATGGGACATCCCCATCTCTTTAGGAAGACAGAGATCCTCTGCAGAGGTATTTAGGGGCATTTCCATTCAAGCTCCACTCATTTAAAGGAACAGCTCATCTTCAGGGCAACTACTTTTTGAAATCAGTGTCCCATTCTCTGCTCTAACATTGACTTGCTTCATGACCTCGGGTGAATCACTCCATTCTCTCTGGGTCTTTTTGTTCCATGTGTTTGAGAAAATAGACAAACACTTCAAAGTATTCATGTGAAGCAAAACAAAGGACAGTGCTTTCAGAAACACTTTTAGAGAACTACAGTCATAAATGCAAAGAGTTATTGGATGTTTCTTGAACACAGTCATCCAAAAGGGAATGAATGTGCTAAGAAATTCCTCAAAGCCCAAAGTAGCCTCTGAAAATGGGAGATTCTAATGAAATCTTTTAGCCCTTGGGATCCTCCACCACTGGGAGCCTTACTCTCTGAGACACTGAGAAAGATACCAAGGTAGACACTTTGGGGACTTCAACCCAATATGCTATATAAAGATGAAATATTCCAACCATAATACAAGTGATATATCATTTTGAATAACAATAGTAAGAACAATCTTTACATTAATTACTGTTTTTACCTCTATTTTCCAAATGGAAAATGAAATCTCAGAGGGGTTGAAAATCTTACTCAAGGTATTTATCTCATAAGGAAGGATCTCAGCTCAGGTCTGATTCCTCTCTTGCCTCCACTCTTCTCCACAGCAAGAGACACACAGAGCAGACCCTCAATTGCAGAGATTTTCTTGGATGAGTAAGAGGTCGGGAAATATTGGGGAAATCTCAGTTTCAGTTGCAATGCAAGCTGGGCCTGGAGGAATAATTGGGATTTAAACTCATGGAGAGGGGGAGTGAAAATAAGTTACAATGTAAGATCACTAGCCTAGAGAAAGAAAGGTGATAGGAACCCATCTACACTGGTGTGAATGAGCACTCACTATGAGTCCAGCACTGTGTTAATAACACCTTCTGTTTCACTGATGGGGACCTACTTCATCCAGCAATGGGTCATGACCTTGAGTCATTCCCCTCAGAATCCTCAGAGGCAAGATCTCATCCCCTTTAGACTACCACAGAAAGAAATTCAAGGAGTTGGATAACAGGGTCAAGAGATGGTGAAGATAGGTTTTGTTAACCTTGCAATTTGGGGAAGAATTGATCCTGCTGAGAGCAGCCAGGATGTTCAATCCTGCCACCCTAGGGTGCCTGTATGACTGCCAAAACCACCTGGGGGAAGAACAAAGAGGGCCTTCATGCGCTTGATCCTTCACAGCCCAGTGTAGGAGGTGGCAGCAGCACCATAGACTGACACTAACCTTATTCCCATTGTTGTACATGGCAACCAGACAGTAGATGTGGTAGACATGGCCACATCTGGACAGCTTCCCCACCAGGTCAGGCTTGACCATTGGCTGTGGACCCTTGTAGCCTGAGGGGGCTGTGAGGCGCTCCATACAGATGGTGCAGTCCTGGAAGAGGAACAGAACAGAGAGGACATCAGCTCTCACCTATCCTAAATGGCCAGGACAGGTGGTTCCTGATGATGCAGGAGGGTCAGATGAGTGGTTCCACTTCTCTTCTAGAAAGTTTGCAATCCAAGAAGGATGCTTCTAAGAATTTAATATAGTTATTTTTTTTGCTTTACACAAAAGAGAAATTTCTCAAATAATTCTTGGTAGTGGTACATGTTAACTTGGGTTCGTCAACTACATTGTAGTCTCCCTGACAATGCACTGCCCATCTTCGATGCACTCTAATGGCTTGTTGATGGACACACTGACAAACTTTGTTTAAGCTAAACTTCTATAAAAGAATTGCATTCCAAATGTACTGGAGGGGCTGATATTTAAATAAATCTACCACAGATTTCTCAACTTTTTAGCACTGTTGACATTTTTGGCGGGGATTCTTTGCTGTGGGTACTGTCCCCAGCATTGTGTGGTACCTAGCAGCATCCCTGGTCTCTATCCACTAGATGTCAGTAGCATTCTCCCCTCCAATTATCACAACCAAAAGTGTCTCCAGACATGGACAAATGTTCCCTTAGGGGCAAAATCACCTCAGTTAAGAACCACTGGTCTGTATCAAACCCATTTTAAAGCACATTCACATGGCTTACCATACTATTTTTCTTGAAATCAGTGATATAAGGCAGTATAAAATTGGTTAAGCCACAGCCTCAGCTCTGACCCATGAACCTAGAAGCCTGGGTGTCACCTTGATCAGGTCTGTATAATTTAGAGCTCCTACCATACCCTGCAGAAAACTATGACAGAGGAAGTGCTCAGGGTGATGGAGAAGGCAAACCTTTCCCCACTTCTCTTCACTCACTTCCTCTGGTGGATGCCGGACCTTCTGCAGATACTTCTTCAGTACTTCTTCTGGGGTTTTACCTATGGGTACAGGAGGATCACTTTGTCACAAGGCAGAGGTAAGGAAGCAACCAGCTTTGCCATCCTAAGTATACCAGAAGGAGAGGAGCCCAATTCAAAGCATAAAAGGGAAGCAATTCATTCTGCACCTGGACTTAAGAATTTGAATGAGAATGCAGGTTGTGGGAGACAGACTGAGGTGGCTTAAGGAGTGGCAAAGTGTCCACATCTGCTCTACAGTGACTTCCCTGACATTCCTCTTTCTATTTTCAAGAAATCTACATTTTAACTGAGAGAGGTTGAATGAGTTTCTCTTCCTTATAAACAAAGGACCTGTACTTGGCCAAATGACCCACTGAGATAATAGAAATTAAAGCACTTTGTACTATTACATGTTAAACAAACATTAGGCAGTCTTATTGCATGCATTTTGCAATTTGATAAATGCTGTTTATAATGTAGCATCAAAGTGAGATTATTTTTGTGGTAGCCAGGAAGTTATGACCCCCAGCTTCAGGACAGTCCTCCTTGGCTTTGAATGGTGCTGTGCTGTTCTGTGGGTGCCTACAGATGCAGCCCAGCTGTGGGAAAGGGTGAGCCTCTGGAAAGCATCCTGACAGGCTGCAATGGATTGCAGATTTCTTCAGGAGCTAGAATCTCAGGAGGCAGGCCAACCTGAAGACAGAGGATGGGGTCTTACAGGCGTATAAGGAGCCACAGAGGAAAAAGTTTCAGTACCATCTTGGGCTACTCTAGTAACTCCTCTGAGTTTCTGTCTTCTCACATATACAATGGGGAAGAATAATAGCACCTACTTCAATGGGAGGCTTTGACAACTAATAAGCTAGTATGTGTACAAGCCTTTAAGCATTTTGCCAGATAAGGGCACAGTATATGTTATAAATAATACCAGGAAGAGTGGGAAAGTGCAAAATCCTGATACTTCTTATTGGACTATGAGAAAATAGTCCTTTGAGTTCATTTAAGAAGGGAAATTTTAATAGACTGGAAAAGTAGGACAAGGGTTTGAGGAAGTGGATCATGCAATAACTAAAAGCTGAGATTCAGGCCTTTCCACCTACTTTCCTGCTTCTCTTGTAAGAATTAAGATAATTTTGAGAGCCTATCACTTGCCAGGTCCTGGGCTAAGTGTGACATACATTTGATCTAACTCAAACTTCATAAATATCTTGCAAAGTGGAGATTTAGGGGGATGAGTAAATCCTTTCACAACCAATGCTAGCAACAAAAGAAAACCAGCCACAAGGCTGAGTTAGAGTCCTTTGGTGTCAGGAAGATATAGGTTCTGATCTCTTAGCTGCTGAATTCTGTGCAGGTAGGAAGGGGTTCCTGAAGGAGGGTTCAAGTGGCCATAGGGTCTGAAGGCTTGAGTAGACATAGACAGTGGTTATTTCCCAATTGTCATAGATACATTTCAGGACATATCCACTAAATACTCACTATGGACATTTTTATCCCATCATAAATTTTAGAAAACAGATCATCTACATGATCATCCAACTAGCAAGTGACAAAGTTAGGATTTAAATCCAGTGTTTTCAACAAAAGAAATGGTCTCTAAATTGAGAGGCCATCCACAGAATGGGAGAAAATCTTTGTTAGCTATGTATCAGACAAGGGACTGATAACCAGAATATATAGGGAGTTCAAAAAACTAAACTCCCCCAAAATCAATGACCTAATAAGGAAATGGGCAACAGAACTGAACAGAACTTTTTCAAAGGAAGAAATCCAAGTGGCCAAAAAACACATGAAAAAATTCTCACCATCTCTGGACATAAAAGAAATGCAAATCAAAACCACACAAAGGTTCCACCTCACTCCTGTTAGAATTACTACCATCAAGACCTCCACGAGGATGCAGGGAAAAAGGAACCCTCATACACTGCTGGTGAGAATGTAAATTAGTACAACCACTATGAAAACAGTATGGAGGCTCCTTAAATATATCTGCCATGCGATCCAGCAATACCACTCCTAAGGATATACCTGAAGGAAAGTAAGTCAGTTTACAATAAAGGCACCTGTACACCCATGTTTATTGCAGCACTATTCACAATAGCTAAGCTACGGAAATAGCCAAAATGCCCCATTACTGACAAATGGATTAAGAAAATGTGATTTTTATACACAATGAAATTTTACTCAGCCACAGAGAAGAGTGAAATATTGTCATTTGCAGGTAAATGGATGGAATTAGAGAATATCATCTTAAGTGAAGTTAGTCAGGCTCAGAAGGCCAAAAATCACACGTTCTCTCTCATATGTGGAAAATAGAGTTAATACAAATATAGCAGTATTATAAAAAACTGGTCACATTAAGAGGACATTACAAATGAGAGGGATAGGATACAAGAAAGAAATTAAGAAGATGAATGTGGTTGATATACTTTCTATACAAGAATGAATATAGAATTCTGAAACCACCATAAGAAAGGGAGGACAGTAGAGTGAAAAAAAAATAGAGGAGATGAACCAATTGGGGTTATAATGCATATATACATGGAAATATCACAAGCAAACTCCCTGTGTAGTTACATTTATCTCAAATAAGCAAAAATTTCATGTTTCTCATTTTATCTTTTATGTTTTTTCTTCTACAGAATCAGAGAACAGAAGGGTGGAACAAGTTCTTCCTGGGTTGGGGAGATTGACACCATTGCGGGGAGGGGAAGTGGTGGGAAGAAGGGTAAGGGGATGAATATGGTGCCAACAACGTGTACACATGTATGTAAATGCAAAAATTATACTTGTTGATACTGTTCCAAGAATCTGGGGAGGGGGGAGAAGTAGAGCAGTGGAAGGTGGGAGTTCAAGTATGATCTATTTGATACATTGTAAGAACCTTTGTAAATGCTACAATGTACTCACACCCAGCACAATAAAAAATAAATAAACAAATAAACCAATGCAGTGTTTTAGTTCTGATGCCAAAGTGATCTTTCTCTTCTAACATATTTTCTTTGTACAATACTTAATACTTTTATGTTTCTGTATTTTTTGCACTGCACATTGATATTTCTCAAGGTATTTCTATCTGATCCATGCACAATCCAGTTTGATATAGTCATCAAAAACTACTATGCTAGTCCACTTAGCAGTTGCAGAAATTAAATCACAGAGGCTAAGGCAGCTATTAAAGCTAAGGCAGTCTTTGACTCTTGACTTGATCCCACCAAAGGAAGAAGCTGGTACCTTTCTTGGCTTGCTTTTTGGTGGTCTTGCGGCTTGTGTTGGAAACCCCTGGGATTGACTTTATTTCGCTCTTGCTGACAGGAGGTGGATGTAGGACCAGCTTTGGTGGTCTGGTGAGACACACAGGCAATCCTGCTGCACTCATGAGGATCCCAGTGATTCCTGGAAAGGGAAGGGCATGGGTGAGGAAAGACTGAAGAATGTGCTGTCAACACTCCCCAGATCCCTCCCTTGCCTGACTCTTCTTTTCCAATAGAGAGTTCTCATAATTCTGATATTCTCTATTCACTCATCTTTAATAACACGCATGGCTTTTTTGTAGTGGTACTGGGGTTTTAACTCAGGGCTTCATGCCTACTCGGTTGGCACTCTACCAATTGATCCACACCTCCAGCACACATGCTTGTTTTTTGGGGTTTTTTTCCCCACATGCTTAGTTCCCCTAAACTCTTCTTGCCCCTTCTGTTTCTTAAAATCTCTTGTTTCCTTCAATTAGCATCAAATTCTCTCCTTTTTACAAACGCTCATCAGCTATTTCATTACTTTGATTTTTCTATCCAGGGTAGCTCTTACCTGCCAGGGCAGGATTGACAGGACTGGACCCATTTAAGTTTTTCACTGGGACAGTGGGGACCCTGTGAAAGAAAAGAGCAGATATATCATGGTTTTGAACCATTTTTGATCCTATTTAAAAGTGCAATAAATCCTTAACAAAGCAGTGAGAGGTGACATCTTCAAAACCAAAGTCAGACAATGTCACTTCTTCACTCAAAACCTCAGAACTCAGAATGGCTCAGTGGACTCAGGGTCAAACTCAAAGTCCTAACAAGGCCTACACAGCCCTACATGATCTGCCAAAACTCACCACCTTAATTTTCTTATCTCCCTGGCCTCTGTCATCACTTGCCTCCCACTCTGCTCTTGCTGTTTTTATATGCCAGGCACCCTCCCACTTCAGAGTCCTTGCATACAGTGTTCCATCTGCCTGAAATGCTATTTTACCAAGTAATTGCTTAGTTCCTCCTTCACTCAGTCAATCTTGGCTCAGATCTCACCTTTTCAGTGAAGTCCCTGAGAACATCTTATTTAATAAATGCTACCTACCTCCCCATCCCAACTGGGACTCCCAAACCTTCTTCTTATCCTGCTCTATTTTGTTTTCATGGAATGTATGATCTTCTAAAATACGTTGGTGCTTCTTATCTCCCCTTGTAGAATTCAAGCTCTGTAAAAGCAAATACCTTTGTTTTGTTCAAAGTCTGGAGCTAGTAGGCATTCAATCAATATTTGTGAAGGAACTGAAAAAGTGAAGAAGCAAGTTCAAACCTGAGTGAACAGATGAGCCAGTTTACAATGTTTTTAAAAAGACAGAGTCCTAATACTGAGCAAAAAGAGCAATGCTGGAGGTATCACAATATGCGACTTCAAAGTATACTACAGAGCCATAGCAATAAAACCAACATGGTACTGGCACAAAAACAGATATGAAGACCAGTAGAATAGAATAGAGGATCTGGGTATGAACCCACACAGCTTGCTCAACTAATTTTTGACAAAGGCGCCAAAAACATATGATGGAGAAAAGATAGCCTCTTCAACAAATGTTGCTGGGGAAACTGGATATCTGCCTCCAGAAAACTGAAACTAAATTCATGTCTTTCACACTGTACTAGTTTCAACTCAAAGTGGATTAAAGACCTCAGTATAAGACCTGAAACTTTGAAGGTAGTGCAGGAAAAAGCAAGGAATACACTAGAAGCAATAAATACAGGCGAGGACTTTCTCAGTAGAACTCAAGTGGCTCAGCAACTAAAAGAAAGGATTAACAAATGGGACTACATGAAATTAAAAACCTTCCACACAGCAAAAGAAATGGTTTCTAAATTGAAGAGACTGCATACAGAATGGGGGAAAATCTTGGCCAGCTATACATCAGACAAGGGACTGATAACCAGAATATACAGCAAGCTCAAAGAAATAAACTCCTGCAAAATCAATGACCCAATGAAGAAATGGGCAAATGAACTGAACAGAGTCTTCTCAAAGGAAGAAGTCTGAATGGCTAAAAAGAAAAAACATGTGAAAAATGCTCACTATTCCTGGACATAAAGTAAATGCAAGTCAAAGCCACACTAAGATTCCACCTTACTCATGTCAGAACAGCTATCATCAAAAATACCACCACCAACAAATGTTGGCAAGGATGGGGGGCAGGCAGGAGCCCTCACACAATGCTGGTAGAAATGTAAATTAGTACAACCAGTATGGAAAACAGTATGGAAGTTTTTTTAAAAAACTAGAAATAGAAATGCCATATGACCCAGAAATACCACTCCTAGGAACATACCCAAAGAAATGTGAGTCAGGCACCTGCACACCCATGTTTATTACAGCACTATTCACAATAGCACAATAGCTAAGCTATGGAAACAGCCAAGATGCCTAATTACTGATGAATGAATTAAGAAAATGTGGTATTTATATACAATGGAATTTTATTCAGCCACAAAGAATGAAATTTTGTCATTTGATAAATGGATGAAATTAGAGACTATCATCTTAAGTGAAGTTAGCCAGGCTCTGAAGGCCAAAAGCCATATGTTTTCTCTCATATGAGGAATAGAGACCTAATAAAAATATAGCAATATTATGGAAAACTGGTCACACTGGGGGGAGGTCACAAATGAGAGGGGTAGGATAAAAGAAAGAAATTAAGAAGATGAATATGGTTGATAGAATCTCTATATAAGAATGAATATGGAATTCTGAAACCACCATAAGAAAGGGAGTAAGGTAGAAAGAAGAAAAAATAGAGGAGATGAACCCATTGGGGTTATAATGATGTATACATGAACTATCACAAGAAAACTCCCTGTGTAGCTACCTTTATCTCAAACAAGCAAAAATATCATTTTTTTCTTCCATAAAATCAGACAACAGGAGAGTAGAACAGGTCCTTCCTGGGAAGTAGGTACCAGTGGGATGGGAGATGTGGCAGGGAAGGGGGGTAGGAGGGTGAATATGGTACAAAAAATGTGTATGTAAATGCAAAAAATTATACCAGTTGAAACCACTCCAGGAATGAGAGGAGGGGAGGATAAAGGATAGTGGTGGAGGGGGTGAATTCAAGTATGATATATTTGATACATTGCAAGAACTTTTGTAAATGCCACAATATATTCCCACCCAGCACAACAACAACAATAACAATAAAAAGACAGATCCCTGGGCCCAGAGCAGAATCTCTCCCTATGGAACACAGGAATCTGAATTTTCTCCCCAAACCTCTTGAGAAGTTGCAATGTTGCCAATCCCCACTCCAGCATTTGGAAACCACTGTTTTAACAGCTGTCACTTCCTTGTCCCTGGGACATATAAATACAAGCACAGCCTCCTCCCCTCTCTGTCCTTCTTCCCACCAAGGAGGGCCAGGCTGGAGAGAAGCCCACACAGCTGCCTGGGAGACACAAGGCCTCCCACAGTGCTGACTGGGAAAATATGGGACTCCTGGGTATTGGGCTTTCTCCATCCCCTCTCCCATCCAGGCTTCCACAGCTGGCTTAGAGAGGCCAGTGGTACTGGTCACAGATGCCTTCAGGAGCCAGCCAGCCTGAGAAGCCAGCGGTTCTGCTCTGGTGGTAGGGTGATGCTGGGAAAGTAGAGGACAAGGAGCATTTGTTTATTCGCTCATTTGAAAAGTACTGACTTTGTGTTAGACATTATGCTCGATGCTGGGGACACAGCAGTGACTGAGACACCCTGTGGTCCTTCATTTATGGGTTATGATTACTAACATGTGCAAAACCTACCTCCTTACCAAGAACGGTTCTACTGCTCACAACCTATAAACCCAACTAATCCAACAACCTATGCAAGTAACATTATTATTAATCTCATTTCATAGGCAAGGAAGTTGAGGCACACTGAGGCTAAGCCCAGTTGACCAAGATCACACAGTTAAAGATTCAAGCCCACAAAATCTCCCCAGAGCCCATTCACTCTTTTGTCACCTTTACAACACCTCCTGCTGCAGAAAGAACAATAAACTCAGAGAAGGTAGGGAACAAACCCACCATCAGGCAAGGGGAGAGCTGGAATGGGACCTCAAGTCAGATCAGTGGGGTCTACCTTTCCCACACATAGGGAGACATAAGGTATTCCCTTAGCTATTTGGAGCCTGCCAGGGCCTCTGTCCCTTCCCAGGGAAGAAGACACGTGCAGCAAAATTGGACATGAGAAGACTTGTGTCTCAACAGGTCACCAAAGGTACTTTTCTTATAAAAATGTCCCCTGGATAAATCAAACCCAGATGTCAGGAAAGGAAAGCTGGATTTACATGAACCACTAGGCCAGGAAACAAGGAATTGTCATGATTCTGGACTCTGTAGCCTGCCCCTCTGTAGCCATGTGTTACATGGCAAATAAACATTGGAGAAAACCAAGTTTAACTGTCAACACTACTAACAGCTCCTCACAAAGTCGGTCAATTTTTCTAAACCCCAGTTTCCTCAGCTCTGTCTGGAGAGGCTAGGAGAGAAGATCCTGCCTCCTGCAGCTTGTTCTTGAGCTTCCCACTAAGAGGCAGTGTGTATTGCCCAGCCCTGCACCTGCTTTCCTTCTCCCCACCTCAAAGGCCCCCACTCCAGCTGCTAAATAGCTGTGATCTAGGTGACAAAAGCCACCTTTGTTCACACAAACTGGACTGGCAGGTTTCCACACCCAATTTGGTCAACCAGGAAATAACAAGACAGCCCAAGAACTGTTGGGTTTGAGAGAAAGGTCTGGAGAGATGGAGGAACAGCCTACACAGGGACCCCAGATACACAGAAGAGATGACTGAGGGACCAACAGAGGGGAAAGATGCCTGTCCTCCCATATCTGGAAAGGGGCAACATGGTGGAAGTACCTTTCACTAGGTTCTGGATTGCAGTGGGTTTCAGGGCTGGTCAGGGAAGATTTGCTATGTGACATAGAAAGGTGTAATGGAAGGAGTCCCCTGCTCTGGTGAAGACTGTCCATCTCAACCCAGCTCAGCCCTGTCTTGCTTTGTGTCTATGGAAGAGCTGTGAAGCCTCTCTGCATTTTGTGACCTCTTTCTGAGTTACCCCAGCTGTAAACGATGTCTGCTTCTCCGGGTCCCTCTGAGGATTTAAGGTCTAGGTCAAGTACTTTTCAAACAGCTGAGCCCTATACAAATTTGGGTGACTGTTTATACTTTTATTTCTCAACTGTCAAAGGACTACACTGAGTTTGATTCTACCATTTCTTGCTTTAGTATTCCAGTTTTCTCAGATTCTTGAGGACATGGTATCAAGTGTGAAGTGCAGAGTTGAGTGTTGGGAAGAATGAGAACTGTCGAGTTGGCAACACTTGACTACCCTTCCCCCATGGTTCCTGTTTAAAATGAAAACTCTGGAGAACAGCCCATGTCTTCACCCTGTCACACCCTATTGGGGCCCCAGCTATACATTTCCTTCTAGAAAACAGCAGTCCAATGATTGGTATGATTCTGACATCCTCCAGGTCAATTCTACTCAGCTAAAGTTCTCTGGCCTAATCACGTGTTAGCCAATCAGAAAACACCTCCTCACCCCTTTATGAAAGGTCCAAGTTTTAATTTCCATTGATAAAATATAAAACTGAAAAAAGAGAACTGGCAAGGTGGCAGGAAGGTTGAGGGAGGGAGAATTCAGCTCTGCAGACACCATGATGGGAGGCTGTGTTTTTCTGAGTTATGTGCCAACACAGGACTCCTCAGGCAGGACAATGACAACGTCTCTAAGGCAACGGAGGCCTAGCCAGAGATGGAAAAGCCTGTACTCAGGGAGAGAAGGACAGAGGAGTGACTGCTGTACTCCACTGCACAGCCCTCTGCTTATGTCTTTGAATAATTTACAGAATCTTTTGTTACCCTCTCCACCAAGCCCCTTTTTTATTCCACTTCTCCCACCCTCCCTGGTCTGCCTTTTTTCCATGGGAAAGTTGCTTGAAGAGGTCATGGCAGAAAGAGTAGGGAGGAGGGCCTGTGCAACAACAGAAGGTCGATGGCAATGTCAGACAAAGGATATAAACACGCTAATTAAATAGCAAGAAAGGCTGGAAGAGAAGAAATGGTAGTGGGGTGACAAAGGTGGTAAGAGGTGAAAAGGAAAGGGCTGGAAGGTAGAGTGGGGTAGCCAAGGGCCTCCCTTGTCAGGAAAACAGAACAGAGAAAAAACAACTCACTTCTCTAGGCCTTTTGAATCTGCACTGTCCGACATCCACTCTGTTCTCCAGCCATTCTATTGGCAGGCAGCGGGAATAAAGAGAACTAAAGTGTTGTAGACTCTCCCTGAGATTCAAAGAGATCTAGGGCGTCTCCCTGAATGATGGCATGGGATCACTTGACATTTATCAAAGGTGTCAGAAATGAGGTGGTGTGTTGGACCTGCTCTGTTCTGACTTTAGTTCAAAACCTATAGAGTGTATATTCAGTAGGTAACCTGTAAAAAATAATAATGAGAGCGGCTAACACTGACTAAACTCGTATGTGTTAAGAATTGTACTAAGTCTATATACTGAATGTCTCATTTAATCCTCATGACAATCCTAGAAGGAAGGTACTATCTATTACAACCCCATTCTATAGATGACAACATTAAAGACAGAGGACGCAAAACTTGCTCCAAGTGTCAAAGCCAGGAACTCAAGTTCAAGCCCAGGAAGTGAGGGGTTAGAGGCTGTGTTCTCAACCAACAATCACCCTGAAACTGTAAGAGGACCTAAGATGCTGCTGTGTGCTGCTGCATAACAGTACAGAGAAAAGGAACAGTGGTGTAGTTTAGGTGCCAATTTCCTTCTCCCAAATACTTCTGCCAGCTCAGAGGAAGCTGTGAAAATCCCATGTATGTGACTAGCATTCTGTCACTTATAAACTGCCTTTCAATTCAATGAGGCTTTAGCCAAAACAACACTAGACCAGGAGACCAAATCCTGAGTTCCAATCCTCCTGTGTAACAAATGAACTTTGTGGAATGGTAATTCTGAACTGAATGCCTGTGGATCAGTGTAGATACTGTCACGAAATTCCTTCAGTGGAGGTTTTCATAACACCATGGGTAGGGAAAGGAAATCTGACACAATGACACACACACACACACACACACACACACAATGACATTGGACCTTGTAAAGATTCTGTGGCTTACCCAAGTGGCAGAGGCAGGAGTAGAGGCTGGGCCTCCAATTCCCAGCCAGGTCCTACCCCCATTCTACAGTGTACTTTCCTTCTTTTTTCCCCCAATGCCAAGTCTCTATGTGCAGAGATCCAGCTGAGTATCCATGATATCTCCTTAGAGCAGCCTGAATTTTCAGACTTGGGAACCCAACTCTAAAACCATCCTCACCATATGAGGCACAAAACCCACAGGCAGAGCTAGGTTCTTTTGAGGAAAGAGAAGATGGGTAGGTGTGAGGAGCTGACAAGAAGCCAAGGAATGGTAAGCAAAGGCTGTAGGCATGGCATGGACTTTTGTCTCAAATAGCTGAGACAAAGCATGGAAAAGAACTAAACCTCTCTTGGCACCTACTGTTGCCAGCACTGTGGTATGTGCTTAGTAGAGAAGGAGCACTGCAGCCTCAGAATCTGGGCTCTGGCATCAGACTTCCTAAATTTTGATTCCCAGTCCTGCCAGTGATTAGCTATGTGCTCCTGAGCAAGTAAACCTGCCTAACTCAGAGATTTGCTATATAATGGTTAAATGAGATGATAAAGTCCCTAAACCATAAAATAGCGGGAGTTCAATTAATGTTGCTATTATGTTTCATATATATATAATCTTCCATACTCCTCACTGCAACTCTTAACACTGACAGCAATAACAGAGAAGCAAGTCAGGGTTCTATGATGTTATGAATCTTGCCCCAAATCACAAGGTAAGAGGCAAAGTCTCAATTAGATCCTGAATTTTTGAAGCCCTAAGGTAAAACCCTCCCTCTTGCATACAAAGCTGGTTTCCACCTGCAGGCAGGAGCTCAGTTCAAGATGGCCTATGTCCTAGCAGTCCTTCTGCTCTGTGACCCAGAAGGTCCATCATAAGCTATCTCTGAGGTGAGTGCTCTGAGTTAGTCATAGGAGCACGTACCCTGAGGCAATCAGCACACGGGACTGGGCCATGGCCAATCGTTGCAAGTTGGTACGATTCAAGGTGGCCAGGGCGACCCTTCCTGTCTTGCTGTTGGTTCCTAGAGGGCTGGCTGGAGAGCCTGAAGTTGCCCCAGCCGGTGCATTAGAGACTTGTCTCCGGATCACCTGTGATGGGGCAGCTTTCATTGGGCCTCGAATAGTGCCTGAAGGGTCCAGCGGCTTAGCCCCAGGGCCTGGTGGTGGGGGCAGCTTAACCACTCCAGAAGGGGGCATATTCTTGCGGGTTGCTGGGGGCTGCAGGGGCCCAGTACTCCCATTGACAACAGCTGCTTTTACACTCATCACCAAGACACATTGTGGACAGGAGCAGGGTGGTCCAGGGGACGAGGTGGCTGACGCAGGGTTGACTGGCCAAGACTGAGCTTTAGGCAAGGTACCAGTGACCATGGGGTAGATGAGGTCAAGTCGGCGGCGGACACGACGTTGGCGCTGGGTCTGCCGGTTGATCTGGCCCATGGTGCTGAAGTCAATGACGTAGCTAAAGCCAATGGAAGTGAGGTCGATCCAGGGGTGCTGCTTCTCATAGGCGTGTTGGATGGTGATACCCACTTCCATATCGTAGGGTGTCCAGGAACCATTGTCATTCTCCCACTCCCAAACCACGCCCTTCCCGGGAGCCGAGGACGGGTCATAGTAGTTGCGGCGAACTGGACGGAGGGTCCCTGTCAGATTAGGTCAGAGGAAAGTCAGGGTCAGCATGGTAACATACTAAATCATATTACATTAATAGGCAAACATTAAAAGAGTCCTACTGTGTACTGGGTACCATGCTGCCAATTGCAGTGTCAGCTTTGAAAGAGATATCTTCCTGCCTTTAAGGAATCTGTAGACAATCCAGGATGGGAACAGGCAAAGGATACAGGAGGCAGTGCAGCTGGGCAGAAAGCACCTCCTACCTTGAAGTTGGAGACATATTGATTTACAGGCAAATTAATTATCTTGCTAGCTAAGATAGAATCCCTCAGGCCACTCTTCTCCTCTGAGAAATAGGATAATAACTCCTTACTAGAGTTTTTGTAAAAATTAAATGTGACTTATTCATTTAACAAATATGTATTTGTTCATGCCAGGTAATGAATTTTACAGCACACCCTATAATTTTTACTTAGGCATATACAGCCTAACGCGCAAAGTCGGTGCTCACAAATATCATATTCTTTCTCTTCTGTCCCTGTAAATTCCCCTGCACCCAGGGCTATGCAGGGAAAAGAATTCAGGGCTGTAGAAGCTTTAGAAGACAGGGACACAACTTTGCTTTCATCCAGGAGGGCTACCCAGAGGTAGTGGCCATGGAGCTGGCCATGGCTCATTATGGATGCAGTGAAAATAATTGTTTTAAAAAATGGTGTGATACTGTGAGAAGAAAGGAAATAGGCTTGAGAGAACTCTCACATATTTCCCAGCATTAAATTCTATACCAATAATAAGAACATTCTCAGTGGCCATGAGAATAATTTTACAATTATCTAAGGCCTTTCTTTCAAAAGCTCAAACGTTCCTAAAGATAGCAATGACTTAATTTTGATGGTCTCATTATAAGACTGGGAAGAGCCAGATTATTATGGGGTGACAGACAGTTCAGCAGAGATGAATTAGTAGGACCAGAAGGAATCTGAGCCTGATGGGGAACTATTGCCCTTTTATCTACTACTCACCCAAACCTGAATCCAGCCCAACACTAACCAGGGCTCAAGATGCCTGGCTCAGGGCAGAACAAGAAGGCTGGGGAGAGTTCCAGAGATGCTGGAGTCCCTGCATCTGTCAGCTTAAGCTCTATCCATCAAAGTGGTGGGAAAAGGCTCCCTTTCCTGGCCTCTGACCCACCCCCTCCTCCAACCCAGAGGGAGACACCAAGACTGGGACAGAATCCCATTCAAGGGGGGAAGAAAAGGAACAATGGCTATTCAGGCCTTTGCCAGGGTCATAACCCGCCCCCTACCCCATCTCCAAGCCCCTTAATGACCCAAAACATCAACATTCAGAGGCTCAAGGGAGAAGCAGAACAATTCCCTATTCACCACCAGGGCCTCCGCTGGGGAACCTGGGGTATAGGGAATGAGGGGGGGGGCACAGTAGTTCCCTAGTTAGCCTCCATTTCCTTCCTAGTAGCCAGCTTGCTAGGGAACAAAGAATACTGGCTTTTTGGTCCTGTCCCTTCCTGCTGTGTGATTAATACTCAGTTTCCTCATATCTTTGGGTCCTGGGAAGCTGCTTCAACAGGTGGATTTGAGGATTAAATGAAGAAATGAATATAAAACTCCAAAATAGCACCTGTCACATGGCAAGAGCTCAAAAAAATGGGGATTGTTATACTTTATTTTCTACTGTATATCTAAGGATGATGTAATGGGAAAAGTTTTAAGGATGCAGTGTGCATGAAACAGGGAGACAGAGAGAGAAGGGGAGAGAGAATGAAAGTTTCTACATAGTGCATATTTGCAGTTTTTATTACTTAGAAAGCCCCTCACATAGGCCTATTCCATATCATCTTCATGGTAATCCTATAAAACACCTGTTACAAATGATACTATTTTATATTTTCTCCAGGTAGCAGGAACAATGTATTCAACCAATTCTCACAAATGTGCTTAAAAGGCTGCTTTTTGGACAATGGTGTTATCAATTCTGGAAATGCCTGAGATATGTTAGGATATATATGAAAGGGACTGCAGAGGTCAGTGAGTGGAGGGAACTTTTGTAGACTACACTATGACTGTATTACATACCTTTCCAGGCTTATTTTCCTCCCTCCCCAGTATTTTCCTCTACTCTTGCTAAAAGAGGCCCTTTAATCCTCATGCATGCCCTCAGGGTTCCCTGATCCCCTCCCACACTAGTACCAGATCCCTTCTACTAAAATGCCACCTTTTGCCATTTTTATCTATTGAAATTCTCCTTATTCTTTAGGTCCTATGCCATTTGCTATCCATTTCTTGAAATGTTCTCCTAGCCCATGCCCCACCCTCAAGAAGTTTGAGGTGCAGATCTTGACTATTGCCTGATGTGTACATTTGCTGAGCATTCTTCATAGGCATTGTGAGTAGGGACAACAATATAGCTGTGGAGCACTTCACATTCTAGTGCCAAATGCAGTATCTGGCAGTTACAAGAGCTCCATAAACAGTGCTGGGATTGATTGAACACTCTGGCTACTAGGATGTTTAATCATTGACCACATATTTCTGAGCATCCATTAGTTGCTATGGAGAATGCAAAGATCCAAGCATTACTCAAGAAGTGTACAGTCTAGAACAGCATTAGAGGACAAGTATGAGCAACTATTTATGATGCAATTATGTCACAAGAGAGATGTCAACAAAATGCATGTTGGCAGGAAATCTGACCATATCCCTTCCTGCTTAAATCCTCCCATAATTTCTCCTTAGATCAGGACCAAAATTCCCTCCACTCACTGACCTCTGCAGTCCCTTTCATATATATCCTAACATATCTTGCCCATATTTTCTTCACATGGGACTTCAGTCTCTCTCATTTCCACGTTTCTCTGATTCTGGGCCTCTTCACAAGTCTTGGTCTTCCTCCTCCACCTCAAAGCATTCTGCCATTCTCTTTGCTGCTCATCCTTCAGATTAAAGCTTATTTTCCACAAGAAGGAAAGGTTTCTCTAACCAGGTCAAACTCCTGTTCCTCTGTTTTATAACACTTATCTCACTGTGCAGTTACACATTTATTTGTGGCTAGTTTGATGAATATCTGCCTCCCTCCCTAAGTCCTCAATTCCATGAGAACTGGCATCAAAGAGTTTTCTCTCTATCCCACTGGCATATCCAAGGGGTTCAGTAAAGTTGACTGAACAAATGAAGTAATGATGATTTGGAGAACATTTGAAGAAATGGGTGGCAAATAGCAAAAGTGTTGAATGACAGCTGAACTTTTTTTAAATTAGTATCTGAATTTAAAAAATTGTTGTTTTTTGTAATTGTACAAAGGGCTTTCATTGTGATATTTACAACATACATATAGTGCACTTCAATTAAATTCACACCATCTATATTTGTCTTTTTTAACCTCCTTCCTTCCTTCCTCCCTCCTTTTTAAATAGTTTTTGGAGGGATTCATTATGCTATTTTCATACAGTCTTCCTCCCCCATAAAGAGAATTTCAATAGGCAAAAATGGCAAGAATTTCAATAGAAGGGACCTGATGAATGGGTGGGGTGGAGAGGATGTCAGAGAACGCTGAGAAGATATAAGACATAGAGGATAAACCTGGAAAGGTATGTTAAGAGCCAGGACATAGAAGTTTTGAAACATTATGCTTTGATGGGTTTAATATTTAGGTGATAAGGAGCCAGTGAAGCTTGTTAAATGGAAGTGGCAAGACCAGAGCTACTCTGTTAATTAATTCCACACGTATTAAGGAGTGTTGGGAAAATGAAAAAGAAGTGACAAACTGGAGAGACCTTACAAAGAGGAAATGGGTAGGACTTGACCATAAGTAGCTGAATGCTTTCTAAGTGAGGTTCCAGAACACTCCTTCATAATCTGCAGGGGTCTAGATCAGCAGTGCCCTTAAGATTGATTTCCAGTCTGGGCTAGAAATCAATAGTTTTCCTTCTGTACCCTAAAATTTCAAGTGGCAGGCCACATGGTTTGCCTGCCTGTACAATAAGGCACTGAATGATGAAATGAATCAAAGAATCCCGAGGCTTTGACCACAGAAAAGTGCCAAAAGAATGGTGCCATTATCAGGGAGAGTGATGTCAAGAAGAAGCATTGGTTTGGGGAGGGAAAGTTGATGAGCTCTGTTCAGCCCTACAGGGTAGTTAGAGACAGGAAACCACCTCAGAACCAAAGACTTGGGACAACAGAGATGATGGGATTTCACTCTGATTATTTTCAGAGACCACACTGCTTGGAATGTGCTAACCTTAGGCTTCTCTAGAATCAGGTCCATAAACTAGGTGGTCTGAGGAAGGTCCATCTTATCCTATGGTGTGATGACCCAGAGAGAAGGCCTCTAATAGGATAGGAATAGGAATGTTCACAAAGTAAGTAAGAAAAAAAAGGAAAGAAAATCAGCTTTTCCCAGCCACCCTAGACATCAGAATCCCAAAGCATCTAAGGAGTTCTGGCTCTTGGGAAATATAGCCAAGGTATAACCAGGCAAACTGAGGTCTCTAAGGCATGCCACCCCCACCTATGCCAGTGGTTCACTGCTGTTAGAACACATACTGTGTCCAAAATTCCCAGGCCTCTCTTACCAGCACCAACTCACCCTCACTAGAACATTCCATGAGGGCAAAGTCTTGGATGTTCTATTACTGCTATATGCCCTGTGCCCATGACTATACAAAGCAGCAGGTTCATAGCATTCACAGAATAAAAGTATAGGGCATAGAAGACTTAATTCAGAATCTTAGCTATGTCATTGACAGCACATCTTAATCCATTGAGCAGAAAAAACTTTTTCAACTTGTTCTCTTTCCTATAAAACTTGAAGAGCACTCTTCATTAAGATCTTTGTGCAAATTAAATTAGACAATGTGTGCAGTATACTTGGCACCATGCAGATCCATGGCAATCCATACTGTGGTCATTGTGAGGTCTACTTCCTCCACTCCTGTGCCACACTAGATATGGAATATTGTGGGGATCCCTAGAAAATCAGTTTCTGTCAAATCTTATAGTCAAACTTACTCCCTTGAGCTGACTTTTCACTATGTTAAAGACATAAAGGAGACTACTCAAAATTGGAAAGAATCCTCCCTTGCACCATGTAACTTCCTTTTAGAATCATCACTGGTGTGGAACTAAAGTCATTCACCTGCCCATTTGCATGTTAGAAGAAAAGAAAGAGGGAAGAAAGGAATCTTAAAGCTGCTCATCAATCTACAGAAGAAAACAGACCTGTCCAGTTAGAGTACTTGCTCAAGATCACACAACAAGCAATGAGTCCAGGATAGAGCCTGGGTCATGTCTCCTCACTCCCAGCCTGGGTCTTCCTATTCTACTGCTAGAGCCATGGAGATGACAGTGATTAGGTGTGTTAGATTAGAATGTACTGGGGAAGGTGATGCTAAAGGAAAGCTCTCCTGTCACTGCCCTATGAGACAGAGGGCAGTCTGGTCAAGATAAATGACTTCAGATAGAAAGGACTGCACCAAGCCTTTTGGACATAGCATGGCCAAGATCAATCCCCTTTATCTTGCTCTTTCCTTCTTTCAGATTCTCTAGCCCAAAATGCCTAGAGAAGACCAGCACAGAATGCTAATGTTCTCATACCCCCAGGAGGCCTGAAGAAGAGCCCAGAGCAAACAGAGGAGGACAGATGGGTGTAGCAACCTTTGTCTCTCTGGAGGCAAGCTGATTGAAGTCAAGAGCCCAGGATAGTGGAGAGACTGAGAACTCACAGAGCAGTCAGGAAAACAACTTCTAAAAAGACAAAGCACTCCTGTCAAAGTGCCTATGGAGAGAAGGCAACCAGAGAGAGGAGAGAGAGAGAGAGAGAGAGGGAGGGAGGACTTGCCTCTAGGCAGGGAACTTCCAGTCCTCCTTTGTTCATAGGGATGTTTCTGGTTCCCAGCTTTAAAATGTAGCTTGGGGACAGTTAATAATTTAATTAAACATTGCCAGGGCTTGGCTGGGGTTGCCTGGGAGCTGGTGGCTTAAAGTTTATACCCTGTCATGGTCTCATCAATAAGCTACATTGAGAGGAACTGTGTGTATTAGTAGAGAAGGGAGAGGAGGGGGCTCAGAGTCCAGATACCCAGAGATGCTAATCTACTTTGACAAGCTCCTTGACAGGCCCAGAATTCCTGGGAATTCAGTCCAGTGCCTTCAGCATACAACACAGGGCTTGGCACAGAGGAGACAGGTGCTCAGGAAGGTTCTATGTCTAATGTTCTGATGTATCTGAGGTAGGAATGAGCACATGTAGTTTTTTTTTTTTTCAAGGATACAGGCTAAACATCATGTTGTACACCTGTACCCGGCACTCAGGAAAGTGAGGCAAGAGGATCCTTGAGTTAGAGGCTAGCTTGGGCTACATGGTGAGATCCCTTTTCACAGAGATAGGGAGAGAGAGAAGAAAGAGGGGAGGGAGGGACACACACATATACACAAAGAAAGAAAGAGAGAGAGAGAGAGAGAGAGAGAGCTTAATAAGTTGCTCAGTGGTAGAGTGCCTAGCATTTGTGAAGTGGCTCTGGGTTTGATCCCTGGCACAAAAAAAAAAAAAAAAAAAGAAGAAGAAGAAAGAAAAAGAAAAAAAGGATTCAGGGTTACTTCTTGGCCTCAGAACTAAAATTCAAGGAGCTCTAGCCTCTGCTAATCAGTAGGAAGTAGTTAACCTGTTCTTAGAGAAGAGTAACCAGACCTTGGGAAATAGCACCTATCCATTAGCACAAGTTTCTCTACAACTTTCACTTTTGTCAAAAGCATCCTTTAGGTTATGACCCCTCTTAGTTCTATGACCATCCTAGATTCCCCCAAATACAAATTAAATTTTGCCCTTCCCAACAGCGGGAGAAGGGTTGGGACCTGTGTATCAGCAGGGTGGTTCTCCATTTGCTACAGAGATTTAGTCTGAAATAGAAAAGCTAACACCTGCTGTTTTTATTTTGAGCAGTACTGGAATGCCCTGTCAGGTGGTCTCTCTGGTCCCACCTCTATGACTCAGCTGCCCCTTTGACACACTCTCCCTTAACCCTCACTTCCACAACCTGTACCCAGGATGCACAACTGTGTTCTCTCCCTCCCTCTCAGCCATACTTAATCAATCCTCTTTCTCAATCTCCTCACATTTCTCCTTATTCTCCTTCCAGTCTCTGTCTCACCTCCCTCCCTTCTCCACCAGTGTTTAAGCCTGCCAGATGCTAAAACTTCTGGAATCTTTTCCCCAGACAGCTTTACTCAGTTGGCCAGTGTCTGCAGAGTCCTTGGCAAGGAGGTTGTTGGGAGTTACAACTAAAGACAGGCAACATGAGAGAGGAAAGATACCTCTTTCCCATGAAAATCCTAATTAGTACACAGGATGTGAGGGCTTTCCTAGGAGGCTGAGATGTCCTGCTCAAGCAGCTGTTCTCCAAACCACAAGGCCCTCATCATTTCTACTCCCTCCCCATTAACACCTGTTTCTCCAGGCTCCTTGGTTACACTCTTGGGAAAGCTCAGCCAGAATTTTAGAACTCCCCACCCCCTCCCACATGCACGCGCCCGCACGCGCGCGCACGAATACACACACACACACACACACACACACACACACACACTCCCCACTGAAGAGATTACTGGGGAGACAACTTGTCGCAGGTCATCAATTACCCTTAGATACACTAAGCCAAGTAAAGAGGTGTAACTACATCCCTCTCCTCCCTCTAATGACCCCCACCCCCCACCCCAGCTTCCACCTTGCAGGCTTCCTTCCTGGCTCTGATCTAGAAAGACTGATTGGATGGGAAGTAGGATTGTGGTAGTCTTAATAGCTGGCAACTTGATTCTCAAGGAAAGAACAGAATTTAGTGCTCTAGGAGACCAGTGTACCTCATAGGCTATGGTTTCAGGAAGAAGCTTAGAGACAGTTTCTCCTTAGGAATCCACTCCCACCTCCTCCCCCTCCCGGGACAAAGGGAGCAGCTTCCCTGCCAGGCATTCCAGAGCCCCATCCCTCCCCCTCCTCTTTCCATCTGCTGTGGCCTGTTGCTTCTGTGCTTGGAGTGCAAAAGCAAAGGCATTGGGTGAATGCCACAGCACCCAGGATGTTCCATCTCCTGGAATCCCCCAACTCCATTCTCTCCTCCTGGGGATGCCCCTGCTTTTCCATACTAGACTGTAACTGGATTCCTTCTTCCTCTCCTAGTTTTCACACCCAGGATCTGGTTGTGAGTAGACATCACACGCAGAGATAGGAAGGTTGGGGATGAGGCCATATGTGGCAGGTCCAAGAGCACCTGAGGCAAAGCAGAGTCCATCAAGGTGTGAGGAGCAAAAGGTTGAGAGCAGGACTCCTTGGTGAGGGGCTGGCATTGCTCATACGCTGGGGAAGCGCCAGAATTTCTACACGGAAGGACTTTAGGCCAACAAGGGCCAAAAAGGGGGCGTGAAGGGGAAGAGAGTTCCTACTGGCTAGGTGGATATGCATGACCGGAATATTAATAATTACTTGCATGGACGTTTATTCAGCGATGGTGGTGGGATCCGAAAAGGTTCAAGAGGAGTAAATCACCTCCCGCCAACACCTCTTCGTGACATAAGTACGCTGGGGTGTCCCTTGGGTGGGCCAGGTGGTCTCATGAGGAGGGAGTTCCCCCGGCAGCCAAGGGGGGTGGGCGACTCACCCGTGTCTTGGCGGAACTGGTTCATGGACTGCAGGTCGATGATGTAGGGCGCCAGACGGCTATCCACCTGGCCCAGCACCACACTGCCTCCAGCACGGGGACCGGCGCGGACCACCGCCTCGATATGGTGGCTCACCGCCGGACTGTAGGGACGCCAGCGACCGTGTTCGTTCAGCCATTCCCAGACCACCACGGCCGAGGCCAGGAGCATGGCGAGGCCCGGAGCTGCGGCGGCGGCGGCGGCAGCGCTGCACTGCCTGCCTCCCGGGCTCCGCGCGCCCGACCTCCTCCGCTTCCTCCTGCGCCGCCGCCTCCGGGCCTCGACCGCGCCCCCCGCCCCGCGCCCCAACGCCCCCGGGAGCCTCAGCTCCGGCCCATGGGCTCCTCCCCAGCCGCGCATCCACCGGGGCCCGGAGACCCGGGCTGCCTGGCTCGGTCCGCGCGCCGCCGCCGCCGCCGCCGCCGCCGGGGTCCGCCGCTGCGCCGCTGCTCCGTGGGGTTGAGTCGCTTCATGCAAATGCCCGGCTCTCTGCAAACAGGCCCCCGCCTTGCAAAGCCACCCCGCGGGCCCGCGGCCCGAGCCCCGGCGGCCGCGAGCCGGGGCGGACCTCGTGGCGAGGACCGAGCCCTCGCACCAGTTGCGCCTCTGGCTCTGCAGACGCCAGGGTGGGATCTACCCGCACGATCGCACTCGGAATGGCACGCTCTGTTCTCCTCCTCTCCCTCCCCACCCTTTAGCCGCACGAAATGCAGGCGCTGTCGCGGGGAGAGCTCCCCCTCCCTGTGGCTCTGTTCAGTCGCTTCCAGAATGAATCGCCCCTCCCAAGCAGGGAGCTAGGGCAAACTGGCGCCCGCGTGGGTTTCCCCAGTCCCCTGATGCAGAGAAGAGACCCGCCATGACACGGCCCCTGGATTGCCACTGTAGCCCGGACGCAACTTTGTAGCCCTGTTCGAAAAAGATGGAATTTCCTTTCTTTCTTTCTTTTCTTCTTCTTCTTTTTTTTTTTTAATGCAGCATGATTAGCGTCCGCAGCGCGAGCTCGGAGGCACGCATGCACTAGCATACACATTCACGCAACCCCCTCCTCACGCCCTCCTTGCTCTGGGTGGTATTACCTCATTCTCTCCTTCATCCTTAGCTGTCCATCAAGGATGCAGAAGCCACACCCCCTGGCTATTTGTTCAGGTTGCCCTGGAGCTTTCACGCCCCCTGCTGGTCCAAACCGTTGCGTGTGGGCCAGTGGTCACACACTTGTCACCACTCAACTCTGACCTCTGCTAATGAGAAAAGGCAATTTGGCCAACGGTGGATTTATATCATCTATGTAGAGAGCAAGTGTGGTTTTTCTGACCCATTTCTACGTTATTACAGTCAAGAAGACATGCTAAATTTATTTATCCTTCAGTATTTCTACGAACACAATTATGAAAGACTAGGACAAAACCAAGTCAGACTTGGTTATTAATGAGGAAAGTAATCTAACATGGGTCTGACTAAAGGGAAGAATGAATTTGGGATCACACACTAACACCTGCCGTGATGGTGTACGTCGGTAAGTCCCTGGTAGGCTGAGGCAAGAAAATGGCGAGTTCAAGGCCATCCTGGGCTGTATAGTGAGACTGTCTGAAAACAAAAACAAAAAGGAAGTACACATTAATCTTTTCAAAGAACACACATTTTGTTTCTCTGAGGCTGAAACCACAATGATGAATTCATTCTGTCAAGTTTTAATTAAAACAGGATATGGGAAATTTTAAAATATATTTTAGGGAGTGACATTATGAATATTTTTGAAATAATTATTTTTTCATTCCATTACATGATCTGTTTATGTTCTATAACTCAGGGAGAAAATGGCACCTGACCAGATATATCAGGAATTCCCAGGTGGCACAAGCCTAATCCAGGTAAGAGTGTGATTATAAATGTTGAAGTGGCTGTTGGAAAGATGAATGGGAAAGAGAAAGAGACTCTACTTATCTATGACCAGCCTGATTTTGTATCTAGTCTTCTGTTATCTGTCATGCTAAACAAGACAGAGTACTGCAGCAGAATTAAAATGCCTGCTGATGCCTGAGAAGGTTGGTATATAGTCTGATTAATTTGCAAGAGGAAGTAAATATATAGATGACAATTGATTAGTAATCAATTGTAGTTGTAAAATGTATGTATTTTAGTAAGCTGTGGGTAGACTTACAGCTCATAATCACCCACTTCAAATAATAATTTACAATTATATCAATAAAAATTATATATGTATATGCATTTCTTAGGTGTTTCAAGACAGTCCTAATTTTAAATAATTGGTGCTGTAAATTCGTAAAAGTGTGAGACATTCCATTTTGGTATCCAAACTATATTGCCCAAATTGCCTCCTAAACCCAAAAGTGGCATAAACCATTTTGTAATTTGAACCTATGGTGGCTATCTTAAAACTTTACTAGTTGAAACTAACTGTAATGAAGCCAGTTTTGAATTGTTCAAAGGCTCGATTCTATGATTTTTAATGGCATTATTCTAACATCAAGTTTCAATGAAAAAGCCATTCTCTTCTTTTTCTGTGGAATGTTCAGAGACAAAAGTCACTTTTTTTTAGTTACTCATTACTATGTAATAAGCCACTCTGATAGTGGCTAAAAACAGTAACTAGCATTCATTTTTGTACTCAAATCTGCAATTTGGAGAAGGCTTCTGAGGACAGTCTGCTGCAGACAGTCTGCAGCTCAAGGCAGTTGGAAGGAAGGGTGACTGGGGGCTGAAATCCTCTGTGGGCTTGGTCACTCAGGGATGCACATTGTCATCTGACAACTCAACTGGACTGTCAGTCCCAGTACCTACATATGGTCTGTCCAAATTGCTAACTGATGTCCTCACAACATAGAGGTTGGTTTCAAAGATGTATGACTCAAGAGAAAGAGCCAGGCAGAAGCCACATTGCGTTTTCTTTAATTAATTTTCAATTTGGAAGTAATTGTAAGTTTACCTGCAGTTGTAAGAAATAAGACAGATCCCATTTACTCTCTTTGCCCATGGTACCCAATGGTAACATCTTCTAATACTATACTAACAAAACTATAGTACATTATTATACTGGACACAGTCTAGCTATAGAATAGTTATAATCTTGTTCTTTGCTGATATAATATCACAGTGTCATACATTGTACAATATACATTTCATGCAATATACATCTCCATCATCACATGTTGCACTTTTATAACCACATCTGCTCCTTCCTCCCTGCTATCATTCTGCCATTGACAGGAGTATCACTAATTTGTTCTCCATAGTTATGATTTTTTTTCATTTGAAGAATATTATGTAAATGGAACCATGAACATTTAACCTTTTGAGATTAGGTTTTTCCACTGTGCATAATTCTGTAAAGATTTGTTCAGGTAGTGTGTGTGGAGAGTTTCTTCCTTCTTACTGCTATGTAGCATTCTATGGTATCTTTGTGCCACTGTTTATTTTACTGTTTACCCTTTGAAAGACATAAGCTGTTTCTACTTTGGGCTGTTATGAGTAAAGCTGCTATGAACATTCTCATACAGGTTTTTGTGTGAAAATAAAATTCCCATTTCTCTGTGATAAATGCCCAGGATTACCATTGCAAGAACACATGGTAGTTGTGTTTCACTTTTTTCTTAATCTGCTGACTTTCCAGATTTTCACTTAGCAATGTACTCATCATCTAGTCTCTACATCCTCACCAGCATGTAATGTTGTCAATATATTTTATTTTAGCTTACTTTATAGGTGTGTAGCGATAACTTCTTATGTGTTTAATTTTTTTTAATGGCTAATAGTGTTTCAAATCTCTCAATGTGATTATTTGTTATCTGTATATCCTCTTTGATAAAATTATCTATTCACACCTTTGACTATTTTTTCTAGTTTTTTTTTCTTTAGGGGAGAGTGCAAACGCAATCTCCCACTACCACAAATTATGCAGTCGAGTTTCCCACATTTGGGGCAATCGTAGGGGTCAGCACATCCGGAGTGCAATGGATAAGTCTCGCCCTGGGAAAACCACCTTCATGATCATGGTATCTCCCCTGCCAGGTAAGTATTTTTTTCTAGTTTTTACTGTTGAAGTTTGAAAGTATTTTTTTAGTGGTCTAGATATAACCCTTGGATATGTGGTTTGAAAATATCTCAAGCTGCAGCTTATCCTTTATCCTTTTTTTGAGGGGGGGGTACTGCGGCTTGAACTCAGGGCCTTCTCCTTGAGCCACTCCACCAGCCCCATTTTTTTTGATATGGTTTTTTGAGGTAGGGTCTTGTGAACTATTTGCCCTGCCTCGCTTCCAACTGTGATCAACTTGATCTCTGCCTCCTGAGTAGCTAAGATTACAGGTATTAGCCACCAGCACTTGGCTGTTTTCTCCTTCTTTATTGGGTCTTTCACAAGAAAAAGGGTTTTTTTGCTGTTTTTTTTTTCTTAATGAAATACAGCTTACCAAAATTTCTTTTTCTGGCTTCTGTTTTCCATGTGAATTCTAAGAAATCTGCGAATAGCCCTAGAATTTGAGTATTTTCTCCTGTATTTCCTTCTGTAAGTTTTATAATTTTACAATTTACATTTAAATGTATGATCAATTTTGAGTTAATTCTTGTGTAAGTTGTTGGCTTTAAGATAGATGTGATGGTTTTCTGAGTTCTGAGTCTTTTAGCAAATTATTGAACTTGAGGATGGTCTTGGGGATCTCCTGAACTTGGCCCTGTCACAGTCTTTGCCAACTCCTCCCTAATCCTTCCAAGGGAGCTCTGGAACTAAAATAGCTGATCAGAGATGCCCCAAAGAGCATTGCCTTATCCCTCCACATCAGTCCCAGAATGGGTGTGACCTCCAGCTGCTAAGGCAATCCCTGAAAGTGCTAACAGATGACAATGTGGGATAGTAAGTTTGTCAGTGAAGGACAATTTGAACAGCATATCCCCACACTTATCCTCTGCACAGCTTGGTAATCCTTCATGTATGTTTGGGGAATAATCCTCTAAGAGTCAATGCAATTTGTTTCCTGGGGAAAACTTAGAAGAGAGGTATGAGTGGGAAGATTCACAGCTGCAGTTTTCTCCCTTCTTTGCTATCCATTCCATTCCCCTCTCCCTCAGCTAGCACATCTCCTACTACTGGTGTCTTCCTAGTGGCATGAACCAAATACTCATTTCTGTGGGGTTTGAGACCATGTCTGTCAGGCTCTTCT